AATAAAACAAACCCACCAGGATTTTGGATTGGTTTCGATGACGCTTTCTATGCAGTTGCTGGATATCAAATCCTTGCAAATGGTCGTATCGTATATTCTCAAGACAACGCAAGAGAAGAAGCATATATAACTTCAAACTCACAAACTACCGAACAAATAAAGAAAGTAGATGTTTTCTCAAAGACTCGACATGAAGATGTATGGAGTCATTCGGGAACATGCAGAACAGGACAAATTGTTAGTGGTCCAATTACAGCAGGAAAATCATTTGATTTTAAGCTTCGTTTAAGAATTCCTGTTAGAAGATTCCTTCCATTAGAAGCTATAAGATTTATTCCTGCATTTGTTGGTAACATTCAGCTTAAAGTAAAGTTCAGTAGCGACGCATTACAATGCACATCTATATCTGTAAATGATATCATTGCTTTCAATCCAACTCTTAAAGTTGCATTTGCTTCAGATTCAAATCCACCGACAAATAAATTTGTTCCATGGAATGAACCATTCACTATGATAACGAAGGCAGTAGAAGCTAGTGGAACAGTTACTATTACAACTGTAACCCAGCAACTATTTCGAACAAAGATGGATTTTAATGAATGTTTCATTCATCCAAAGTCATTCTCTTTAGACCCTAACATTTATACAAAACTTGTAGAACATTATACAAACGAGGCTTTATGTTTTCCTGTTAAAGTTATGGATTGGATTCCTATGGACGGTTCATTCTCAAAGAATACAGATAGTTCAAGTGCAACATTTACAGCAGCTTATACGCCTAATTAATGTTAAAAGTATTTGGGCACTATTTAGAAAGAAAGACAACTATTATGTTAATTTTTGAGAACCCTAAGTTTAAATATCTTCAGCTTTCCATGGGAGCTTATGGAAATATACCTGCAGAACCTGAAAAATCATATGGACCTGTATTTTATGAAATGGTTGCGAACGCTTGCAATACAAACAATGATATGATTGGATTTAATGAAGATGTTATGAGTCATTGGTGGATGATGGTAGTGTGGAACATAAATGGGATAGCTATGACAACACACATTTCTTATGTGGTTTTCCAACAGAAGTGGACTTTTGCTTCCAGCAAGGTCAAACATCTACTGCTCCAATAACATACAAATTGACTGTTAAAGGACCTATTGAACTAGCAACTGAAAATGTACCAAAGCCACTTATTGGATTTATGAGGGATTGTTGCTTTGCCATTCAGGTGCGTGCTAATGGCATCCCAATAAGATTAGATGACTATAACTTAGCTACGGACGACAGTGAGGAATAAAGGATGAACGTTTATTTTTAAAGCTTATAAATGAGTTCTTCATCAAGCTCTCGTGAACCTTCACCATCTATGAAACAAACTTTACCAAACGATATGGAGCACCTATTGAATATTTCTTACGAGCTGCACAATGGCAAAGAGCAGTCTCACCAAGGTTAGGTGTTCCACCAGCTCCTGTCAAAAAATAGCATTTGGTCAAGTCCTTATATAAAAATATGGTCTCCCACTAGGTTTCTAGCTACAGCAGGAGCAGTAATGATGTTGAAAAGAAATAAAGCAAATGTTGTAAATAATACTGAAGTAGCTGAAGTTAAACAAACTCCAACACCTTCGCCAAAACCAACGTCAAAACCAACGCCTTCACAAGCAAAACCTTCAATGACTCCTGAACCTATGGAATTACAAACTCCTGTTCAAAAGTCAACTCCAAAACCGACTCCAATATTTAAACCAGAACCTACACCACAAATAAATCGTAAAACTCCTGCGTTTCCTTACTGAAAAAAATAACGTTATTTTTATTTAATATTAAAATTTTTATTTGATTGAAATGACAAATAAAGTCACTGAAGCAATGAAACAAAAGTTTTTGGTAGAATACATTAAATCAGGAATTATTCCAGAAGGTTTTTACATTCATACTATGAAGGATGGTAGAGTTCAGTTTAGAAAGATAAAGCAACCATTAGATAAAGAAGGAATTTTGAGAAAGATTAAACTTCATGAGGACAACATTGCTGAACTTAAGAAGAAGTTAGAAGAGTTGGAGAAAGGAAGAGAGTTATAAAGCAATGAATTCAACAGGGTGAAAAAAGAGGTGAGATCTCACCACTTCACCTAAATTTATTTTTGTGCTATGTTTTCATACGTGTGAGGGTGGTGATATCATTTATTTTTTATTTTATTTTTAAAATTATTTTTATTTTATTTGGATGTAATGACAGAACAAAAGCAACTCATACAAATCAAAACATATAACAAACATACATTTAAACATTTATTCTTCCTTCCTGAGCATAACATGTTCTTTCAAATACATCCGAGACCAGTTGACTTTTCATTGACTGTTTATAAAGATAGAAATAGTTATATCATTAAACCATACGATGACGAAGGTAAGTTATGTAAATTGTACGTTAAGAAGTTAGAGAAAGTTTATGGCTTCAAGTATGACTACAATAGGGTTAACACTGATGATGAAGATATTGAGGAAAATTTATGAGAACATTAGTGAAGTTGTTAGTGAGAACGATAGTGAGGTGAAATTGTTGGCGGCTTTGTAAATATTTAAGGTTAAGTTATTTTTTGCGTTCATGTTGTAAAATATACGTTAATGGTTTTGTAAAGTGTCAAATTCACAAGTATTGGGTAAGGTGGAACGCAGTGCCACCATACCCAAGACTTGTATACTAACTAAAATAATGAAATTGCGAGAACGATTATTGTAAAGTTGTACGATAGAGACTTTACAAAATACAAAACTAAAAAGTTTGTTGTGCATGAAAATTTGGTTCACTTCACTTCTGACAAAAGTGACAAGTTTACATGGCAAAAATATATAGGGTATTTTTTTAAAAAAGTAGTTATCTCTATATATAAAAATAAAACTTTTGATATATTTGAGTAAATGATTTATTAATTTATTTATTTATTTTTTTTAAATCAAATCATATAAATATATATATATATAATAGTGAAATAGAACAAGAGATAATTATTGATGATTAAATTGTAGACGAGGATAAAAGTTTAGATAAATTAATAAAATTAGTGTGGAATCAGACAAATTTCGGGTTGTTTGGGAAGGAATTGTTGGCTATGATGTACTGATTCATGATCAGTACATCATAGCCAACAATTCCTTATACAAAGTTCAAAAACTTGGGTGCAATCAGAACTGATTGCACCCAAGTTTTTGAACTTTGTATAAGGAATGAAAGGGTAAGAGGTATACATTATGAATATATACCTCTTACCCTTCCATTCCCTCTCTGACAGCGGGAAACTTTGTCTGAATGTTAAACTATTCAGACAAAGTTCCCCGCTGTTTGCGAAGGAATTGTTGGCTATGATGTACTGATTCATGATCAGTACATCATAGCCAACAATTCCTTATACAAAGTTCAAAAACTTGGGTGCAATCAGTTCTGATTGCACCCAAGTTTTTGAACTTTCCATTAACAATTGTTCAATCACATTTATACAACCCAAATCTATACCAATCATACTCTTATTCATACATCATATTTTAAAAACTTTTTTGCAATATGATGTTATTGCAACAAATTTTTTTCTTTTCTACTTCCAATTAGCACCTTAAAAACATTAGACACAATCACTGGCTCATATGCTCCTATTCTGAATCTAACACTATGCAAATTTATACAATTTCTCCACAAATCTTACATTCATTTTAATTTCAACGACCATTATTACCACTAAGAATCTTACCTTCCCCTACAAAATCTAACTATCTATCAATTTAAAAAATGTTACAAAATATTAAATGAATTTTTTTCTATACGTAATTTAAAGTTCTTAAACTCTCAGCATCAGAATATCCTTACATAGCTTAGCTATATATCGTATTACTTTATGAATAAAAAAATTATTTAAATTATAATAAAATGTTTATTCGTATTTTTACTTTATTTTTAGTTACGAGGCTGTATTTCGAACTCAGGATTTGGGTTTAAGTCCTTTGTCCATTTAGGACCCTGGTCCCAAATTGATTTTGGAGTAGGTTTTCCACCGAAAAGATCTTTAAGAGCTGTATGAACCCATACTGTGTTGTATTCTTCTATTGCGTGAGGTAAAAATTCTCTTATTTCGATAAAATCTGGGCGAGCCGAAAAGATTGTTTGCCAAAAACGTTCTCTATTTTACCATTTAACTGTGGTGTGTAAGGTTCTGTCCGATGGTGTTGAATGCCATTTACTTGAAGAACGTTTTTGAAGTCCTTTCCTGTAAATTCGCATCCATTATCTGTCAAAAGTTCGTATGGAATAATTTTGATAGAGTCGATAGCATTTTGTAAAGCTTTTGAAGTTGATTTCATTGTTTTATCGGGAAGAATTTCGTAATAAATACAAAAACGAGATCTGTCATCGATAAAGGCAATTAAATGATAAGTATGCTTGGTACCATTTGTCTCTTCTTTGAAGCTTTTTAAATCAGTATGCCATTGCTGATTTACGTATTGGGAAACATACTGATTTGGATGTTCATCAATTTTTTCTGGATCTCGCCGAAATTTGAAAAGATTCTCTTTTTCGTATAATTTAAGCATATCGTGAAATGAAACTGTGTCATCATGTATGTAACTCTCTAAAACTTTTTTATAACCTAGATTGTACTTAGCTTTTATTTCGTGAATGGTTGGTAACAAATCTGTTCTAAGAGGAGTTTCTGGTCTTCCGAGCTTTTTTGGATTTAAACCAAGTTCTTGCCATTTTAATAATAATTTTTTTCTACCTATGTGCAAATCTTTTGCAACCTGGTCTGCTGTCTTTTTGCCAATAGAATATTCAAGATATGCCGTAATATAAATCTGATTTTCATTTGGCAGATCCACTTCTTGTCTTTCCATTTTTTTGAATCAATTTATACAAATAAACTTATAAAACACAAAATTATTATTTTATAATATAATTCTTAGATAATACATCCGATATGTAAAGTGTCAAAAATGAAGTGAACCGAATTTTCATGCATTACACAAAACTAAAAAGTTGATATCCAAGACAATTGAAGTAATTGAGAAAGACATCATTAGTGAGTTACGCCATATATGATAGAAAGGAATGTACCAGATACTGTAACAAACGTATCCCATGATGAAAAGATGAATTAAATTTAATAAAACAAAATACCATGGATCAAAGAATGTAAAGATAGCAGAAATCACTGAAAACACTGTATTAACAACTATATAAAGTGCAATTCCGATTGTTTGGAATGATGGGAATAACAAATTACTTAACACAACACTTCTTGATCTTAGCATTGTATTAAGAAGGAATATAGCACTTAATACAATGCATGATAATGAACCACCTATTATTTCTGCAATATAGTTGATTGAAAAACCGAATTTCAAGCCCGTGATTCCATGATTGAGTACAAATGCACTTGGAATGATGAAAATAGGATCAATAATATCAATGATTATTGATGATATGTAAAGAAATGGCTCTGAAATTGTATAATACTTGTTATTGTAAACAATCATTGAAATTATCCAGCAAATGGAAACTGCAGCAACAACAACGCATAGTATTAAGAATGCATCATTGAATTTGGTATATGTATGAGGAGTGTTAATCGTGAACGCCGATATTATTCCATTATAAAGCGAATGATACTTTTCTGAGACTCTTTCAAAGATTGGAGTGTATATCCAAAGACCTACAGAGAGTAATTGCAATGAAAAGTAAAACATTACAATATTCATTATCCATTCTGGCATTTTTGTAAATTGTGAAATTTCATCGATTAATGGGAATATTCTATCTATGAAACTACCACGTCCATGAGCTAGATTTGAAACATACTCTTTGTTTTGGCTTACAGCCGAAACAGACTTAGAAACAGAGGATTCGGCCATGAATAATGAGATACGTTCAGAATTAATTTAAATCTATTGATAACTTGATTGAAAATAGAATATTTCAATGAAAATATTTAGATATTAGTTTCTAATGATTTCTAATAGATTGATCGAAATTGAATCCTTTCAAAACATGCTATCAAATTAAATTGAATTTAATTGGGAAATGTTGAACCATATTGAGTAATGAATGAATTGCAATGCTGTTATTAATTTATTGAAAAAGAATAATCAATTGAGAGGAAGTTTACATATCTACTTATTAATACGAGTAATTATATGTATTAGATAATATTATTAAAAAATTGATAAGAAATTTAAAAGCGTCTAAAAATCTAATTCAATTGAAAGGCCTCAAAAAATTCAGAATATTCTTTTGAAAAATCATTTACATTTCTTTCAAAAGATTGATATCTTACTGAAATGAAAAATTATCTACGCCGATATTTACCAATTAAGACTGCCATATGATTCTTCTTCAGACTGAGCGAATCGGAGTTTGAACTTTAACGTTTTTACTGGTTAACCAATACTGATTCGGATTTTCATTGCCAAAATAAAGTTCAATATTATAATGTGAAATTTATAACATTATATTTTTAATTGTTCTAATTTGAGGTCAATTGAAATATATTTGAATTGAAATGTTGATAAACAATAGGTTCATACTTTTAATACTATGCTTATGCTCTTTTACTGAAAAAGTAACGATGCGAAATCAATTTATTGACAGATTCAAAACAGTATATTATAATGTATATTATTAATTTACAATGTAAAAATTTAAAATCATTATTTTTCTCTCAAATCTCCTACTTCAAATTACAGTCTATTTTTCCTATTAGCATGTGGTATATCGCAAAAAAAATAGAAGTTACTTAACTTTTTTAAGCAATATTATTATATTTCATTTATTGATATTAAAATATTCATTTTTCCATAGTATTATGATTGTATTTCAGATATTTACTATATATTACATTAATTGATAATCGTTAATTATACTATTAAGCCGTTTTCACAAATTCGTATTGATTGTTCTCGTAACTTATAACTATCATTGCTAATATTATTTCTCTGCTAATCTTTATTCATGATGACTGTGGATTCAAAATCTTTCTCCTCTATTCTGATTGGAACTCATTAGATTCGAGGTTCTTTTGAAATATTTCTATGTATCTAACCACCTACTTAATCATACTAAGTTTCTGCTTAATTCTTTAAGGAGGACGATAAAACCCTGAGAAGTTTACATCGTTATTAAGGGTGCACCCGTATGTACGTTTATTTGAGAGGAGGAGGATTACCCTCTCAATTTTGAGGGATTCGTTAGTTTATTTTCTCGATGAATATGCAATAAAATTTGATTTTTACCTTATCAATATACTTCATATAATATACACATGTTCATGTAAAAACTTTTTTCCAAAATCCTCAGGAATTAAGGGATTTTTGAATTTTAAGAATTTTTTTCGAATTTTTTCGAAAAAAAAATATTTTCAGAACAGCCGTAACGGCTAAGATTTAGGAACAATGTTAAGTATCAAAAAGAAAGGAGGTCTGATATAGACAACATATATCGTTGAAGGTTGAAAAAATCTCTAATATTTGAGCCCAAAATTTCAAATTTTAATTTTTTGAAAAAAGAGGCCACCCGTATGTACGTCTATTTGAGAGGAGGAGGATTATATTTTTGAAAGGGTGAAACATTATGAATATGTTAATTATATAATAATATGTATTATTATAAAAAAGAAAAAATAAAGCACGTTAAAATTTTTCTTTCTTGATTTTTTACAAAATCTACTTAGAATTATGCAAAATATGACTAAATAATTATAAATTTCAAGTTAAATTTTAATTTTGATAAATAATTTAAATTTCAAAATATCAAGTTCAGTTCGACTATGTATGTAGTAATTCCTCAATAAAGTGCCAAAACCCTATTAAAATATATGAACATTTTCAAAATTTTAATGTTTTTATTTAAAAATTTGATGGAATATGAGCTTCAAACAATTATTATGTAAATAAAAATAATTAAATATATGTATTTATTCGTATTACAACCGTAGTAAGTCGATTCTTCCTTTCTTCTACTGAGGTTTGAATTTGATTTCGAATTGTAAAGAGATTCAAAGGGAAAATACTAGCGGATAAAAACTACCTCCATGAAAGGGTCAGAATGGAGTCAAGTTGTATTTTTTGATATTTTTTGCTTTTCGAGCCTAAATAGGTAGCCAAGATAATGCCTAAAAATAAGGTTCTAAATTCTGAAGTTTACATGATCCTCTCGTGTGCACTCTTAAAAATTGAATTTGATTTTTGCTAATTCGTATAATGATGCTATTAGCCACACTGTTGAGAATACTCAACATGAACCACCATTTTTCTTTGTTTCTAACTTGATTTGCAATCTATTTCTCATCCTAGTCGAGCGTTTCCGTAATAGAATTATAAACGCAGGATTATCATAATTCTTTCATTGAAGTTGTTTAAATGGTGCTAGATATGCTTGCCAATATTCTTTTCTTTCATCTATTTGGGCTTCACTCGATTTTTGATGTACATTTTCATTCATCTATCGGCGCGTAGCGCCGCTAGATGATATATCTATATAATATTAATCACTTTCATTTAAATTTATTTGTATAAACTCATTTCCTATAATCATAATAGATTTATTTTGACGAAGTTGGCTAGGCTTGCCCATCGGGCAAGCCTAGCCAACTGAGTCCCGAAATTATATTATATCAAATTTGATTTCTTACCTAAAGAATTGTTGCATGTTTATACATTCACCCTACAGTTTATTACACTTTATTTAATTCATTCTAACAAAAAGCTTCATGACATGCTTGTCATTAATGTTAAACTAATTCAAAATTAAACTATATCATTATATAAGACGAGACTTTTCATTAATTTTGAATTAAATTCAGATGAGCACAAGTGCACCTTTAAGATTTTTGAACATTGACAATTTGTAAACTATTGAAAATTATATTTGTATGAAGAAGAAAAAGAAGAAAATCTCGGGAAAAGAAGAAGAGATGCTTGTTTACATTTCACAAGCCCTTCAATCGATACATGGAATAGATTCTATAATCCTGCAGCTTATGATAAATTTGTTAATACAAGTCAAACAGTCACAGAAAGTAGCAGTGTCTTTGTTGATTACGTTCTTTTTGAATATTTTAATCTACAAGGCGTTATCCGAATCTCTACACCAACTGATAATACAAAAGTTCTTGTTTCAACTTCATCTTTCTTTAAATGTTCCTCTGAAGTTCATGGAGGATCCATATTTCTTTCATCATCAGGATCATTTGCTCAATACAAAGTCTGTAGTTATGAATCTAAGACAACAGGATCATTTGTACTAGGATCTCATTCATATATTGCAGTAACAAAAGATGATAACCACAAGAATTTTGTTATTGAATCATCATTCACTCAAAATACAGGTAATGAAGCTGTTTTATGGCATCGTTATGGATCTCTTCTATTTTCATCAATAAATATCTCTGATTCAAAACTATATCAAAATGCAGCATTTGTTAGTTTTGAACCATTTTCTCTCTCAACAACAAATTTTAGTAATTTCGATAATATTTCATCAGATAGACAATGTTGTTTTTTTCATACTTATGGAATACATAATTTCTATTTTTGTAATGTTATTGATAACAAAGTTTTAGAAAAAGTTAAAGGGATTTTCTCTCTTTCTAATTATGTTACACTTTCAGTAAATCAATGTTTCTTCAAAGGAAACAAAGCTTCTAAATTATTTTATATTTATTCAGGATCACCATCACCTACTGCAAAAGAATGCCATTTTGAAGATAATACATTCGAAACGAATGAAAATTATATTACGAAATCAAAGTCAATGACAGAAATCATTCTTCCTGATTTATATTCTTCATTTTTATGCGAAATTAAAATTAGAAATAAAAAAGATTCTATCCACATTCCAAATATTTCGTTTTCTAATTTATTTTCTGATAAACCTTCAATTCCCCATAAACATAAAAAATAGTATACGTTTGAGTTCTTTCTAACATTTGGGAAAAGCCTAACATTTATATTATATTAGAGAATAAACATAAAAAATAATATAATTCTTTTTCATTCAAAATTCTGAAACCTGAAAAAAAATATATTACCACTTTTTCATAGGATTTGTAAAAAAAGTGAGTTAAAAAAGAGACTTTTTATTCTAAAATAAAAGATAATATAGAATTTCAGGCTGCGAAATAGGCAAGTGGAAGAGTGTATAGTTGGCCCAAGTTGGAAAATCGGGCGAATCTAGGATAATATTTATGAAATACAATCCGAATAAGCTTCAATCGGATAAATCTCGGTTGGTACGATGGAGAGATGAGGCTGGATGCTTTCCTAGCTTGTTGTAATAGGAAATTTTAATTCCGAGTTAAGATAATGATCACCAAACCATGAAATTCTAAAAGCGGTTTGATCGTTATTGGTTTTTTTAAAAAATGTATTTTTACTAATAAGAGAATTATAAATATAAGTAGTGACGAGTTTTTTGAGAGGCTTCGCCTCTCAAAAAATAATTGATCAAATTAAATAAAGTGTTGGTATAACATGGTTATGCATGTTCCTGAATTTTGAAGGAAAAAGAATTCCAAAATATGGCGAAGCCGCGCGCCGATAGATGCGATATATAGAAGACTAAAAATATTTTTTCGTCGTCTTAAGGATGTCAATTCGGAAAATTGTTTTCATTTTAGGAGAATATAATTTTCCATTTGGAAAATTTAAAAAGTGAGACGCGCAGGATTCGAACTGTTTTAAAAGTTGATTTAAATGAATTTTAGTGTGGATTCTAAGGATAATATCATATTTAAAATAAGAATATACTAGTTTAAGTGGTATAATTTTTTCGATAAATTTGAGAGCATGTACGTTTAGGGCATCAAAAGTGTCAATTCGCTCAGCGAAAGCTGAGCTAGCTTCGTTCTCGAAAGAATAGGGAAGGAGTGAAAGAGAGTGATACAGATGTTGACACATTCATGTCATTTCAACAAATTTTGATCAAATTGAAATGCAATGAAATTCAATTCACTTCATATCCTTCAGTCAGTACATTGACATCCTTCTACATCACAATGATAACTCGTGCATCAATAGTTCTACAACTAACTCAGAAAAAACAAGATTATTACTTCCTGCTTACAGCTTTTAAAAAGTTTCGATGATAAAAATCACTCTACTCTCGTTTATCGACATATGGTGATAGTAGGTAAACATATTCTTATCGATATTAATAAAAATATTTGTACGAAAATCTTATCCAATTAGAGAGTTATTCATAAAGTATATGATAATTATAATTACTTTATCTTTGTTTTATCTTTGAATAAACAATTTAATTTAAATTGCATAATATTTTTTGGTTGAAAGACAGGAAACTTAGTTGAGTCTGTATTATTTTTATCGTTTAATTCATCGTATATGTGAGTGATCCAGATATTTAAGATATTTAGAAAAAAAATTATTAATTTGATTAACAAATTTTAATCAAAATAGCAAAAATCTATTTGATAGCTGTAAACAAACAATAATTTTTATTTCAAGCAAAATCACTTATTTTCATCTAAACGTATAAAATTGTCAATTTTATGAAAATAAATTGAAAATCTCATGAAATGTAAAGGAGAGTAATATTTTTCAATTTTCTTTTTTTCTTTGTCTCAAATATTTTCTGTTGGGAATTTTCTTGTTATCAAAAAATAATTTTAATATTTGTTTATTTCATTACATACAATAAAATTTTAAAAACTCTATTTCTTCTCAAGAAAATTTTTTCCTTCATATGAAGAAACATTTTGTTCTCCATTTGATGCTGAGTCTAAATCTCGATTTTTGAATTTTCTTCTTTCCAAATTTCTTTTTTCCAAATTAGAAGTTTAATTCAAATTTTCAATAGTTTATATATTTTCTCAAACCGTCTCAGATTTTCTCACTTTTTAGGGATTTTCTCTCAAAATATACAAAAATAGTAATATCAATACATGTGTCTAATATACTTTAAAACCATCGTGACAAAATTCAAAAACGAAGAGTTCTTCTCTCCAAATTTTTTTCAAAATCAAAAAAATGGGATACAAAAATATGTTTGGAAAATTCATTTTTAGCATTTTAGGAATTTTCTCACTTTTCTTCCAAATTGACATCCTTAGTCGTCTTTAATTAAATCAAATTAGCTATCTAAATTTCATATTTTCGTGACTTACTTTTGACCATTTTCGGTTGCAATTTTTAATCGTTTTTAAACTAATAGCATATATCAATTTGGGTTATATTATACTGTGGATTGATCCATTTAAATTTCCGAAAATTACATGATCAATTAATTTCAAAATTAAATCAGGTTCAAAATTCGATTCCAAGCGGTTTGTTTTGTTACAAATCGTATGAGATATCATAAGCAATTATAAAAACAAAGGCACAAAAAGTGACAAAAGACACTCACAAAAAATATTGAGAGGAGTTTTGCTATTTGCTTCACATTCTCCAAATTTGTGAACCAGACTTAGAATTCAAGCATGATATAACAACGTTGGTTTAATTTTGATATAGGGCAGATTCACATCTATAAATATTCATTAAATACCTTTTTATTTGGAAATAAATTTCAAATATTCTTCCCATTCTCAATATATTTCACTTACATCTTTCTATTATTAGGTACCTAAATTGATTGCATAAGGAAATTCTTCTAAGTCATACTCTTGCAAAATTGAAATTCAAAATTCATTGAAATAGTTCAAAATCGTTAATAAATAGATATTAATACATCTCAATCTACATATTATCTACTAATTTTTCTATTTTAATTTTCTGCCAAAAATTGAGACCAGCTGGACCACATTAGCCGCTTTTTGCCAAAATTGAGACTTCAGTCTTTAAAATCATCTAAAAAATCCAAATCAATAATAAAATTGTGCCTATAAATTTCCTCTCAATTAAAAAAAATTGAGACTTCTATCCCTAAATTCCTCTAAAAAATGTATAAGGTCGCCAAAAAAAGTGCGGAAATTAAAAACAGCAGTTTGAGTACTTTCTGAGAGTCTGTTTGTCAGAAAGTATACATTTGTAAACTTTCTGACACTAAAAATTTTTTGGTCCTTTCAAAGTTTTTGACAATGTCAAACAGTATACATCGGTGCTCTCAATTTTCCTCTCAAACGGCGGTTTTTTAAAAACGCTCATTTTTTCATCGACCTTATTTACAATAAAATTATGCATTTAATTTTTTTCTCAATTCATAATCGTCAAAGGTTTGAAAATATTCTTTATTTTGAAATCATACATCATTGATATCTGCTTATAATAACATACTTATACATCAATTAAATATATAAAAATCTCATAATTAACTTCGAAATGCTGGACTGCTTGTTACTAATCGATGTATGTTTCTCATAAAATAGTATTGAATAAGTAATAAGATACCAAAATAAAAGATAGATAAATGATAGCAATACCATTTTCATTCATCTAGCGGCGCTACGCGCCGCTAGATGATATATATAAGGTAGTCACAAAATCTAAGTAGTGGGGCTATCAAAAATTGTGGGGCATTACAAAGGCCTTTCTCTCAAAATTGAATGTCCTCACTACTTAGATTATGTTCAATTCAAAATAGTATCCCTTTAATTATTTGAATAGTTTACATTAAAAAGAATATTCAAAAATTGAAAACTTTACTTTAACTATTATAATAGTCATGAATAAATATCATTTCACCAAAAATTAAACCATTTTAAATTGAAAGGCATTCAAATGGGCATCTTTTTTGGGACTATGATATTTGCAATATGTATTAGATGTAATTACGAATCAACTTAAAAATAAGCCGGTACGCCAATTTTTAAATAATTTCTTGTAAAAAATAAGCAATTACTCTCCTTATTGGCTAAGAGATAAGACGGGTTATGATAATAATAATCAGTGTCCCAATAATTTTGGCTTGGTTCCCTGGCCATTGGAAATTTTGTAATAAATTTCAGCTTGCAGCAGATTTTTCGATGCGGATATGTTATAGAACTGATGGTTGTGGGCATTCCTGACATTGATTAAGTTTGTGCGGTCATATTAGTGATGTTCTTCTTCAAATCTTTTTATTCTAAACGTGCACTTATGATTTAATTAGATATTCAATAAGCACATAAAAATATATTTATATTTCAATAAGTTGACAATTTCATCAATAATTTAAGCTTTTCAGGAATAATTTTTTTTGATTTGGTTATAACCTACTGAATTATAGTTTGATAAATTGTTTTATTGTACTTCAATTGGTGATATATCTTAAAAACGTTATTTAATCTGTTTTAGACAATTTTCTCAAATATCTCATAAAAACATTCAAAAGTTTCGACTACTGAACATAAACTAATCTTTGCATGCAGAAAATTTGACTATTTATAATAAAAACAACCCACAATCTGGGAATTTATTGATTTTGTCAATTATCACGCAATCTAATGCCTTACCGAAGTGTATTCATTTCACAACAAATTCTTAATAAATTCTTTGCTTTCATTTGAAAAACCTCTAAAATCTCAAATTATTCTCTAAATTACTTCAATTTAGCTAAAAGTCTATCTTCTATTTTATATAATAATCACTTGCATTTAAATTTATTTGTATAAACTCATTTCCTATAATCATAATAGATTTATTTTGACGAAGTTGGCTAGGCTTGCCCATCGGGCAAGCCTAGCCAACTGAGTCCCGAAATTATATTATATCAAATTTGATTTCTTACCTAAAGAATTGTTGCATGTTTATACATTCACCCTACAGTTTATTACACTTTATTTAATTCATTCTAACAAAAAGCTTCATGACATGCTTGTCTGAAACATAAAGAATATTGCCCAATAAAATTTTGTAAACTATCCACTTTTTATGTGATAAAACTAAATGCACGATGATAATCATTATTTCACTATTTTGAAATTTTTATTGCTTTCTCACAATTTTTTCTGTCGTTTTTTCTTTTTTTAGAAAACTGATAGTCATGCTTACTATTTTATCAGTTCTGGCAATAAATATTAAAGGATATGATGTTGCTACAACACTAAATGATAATTCTCTTTCTAAAATCTCAATAGATTTATCACAAGTAAAAGATTTTGTATTCAATATCCGTTATCAAGAAAATATTCAATCAAATGGTTTACAACCTAAAAAACATCAAAAAGTTATGATCGTAAGGCCCTTAATTCATTCAAAAAATACTTTTTTGAAACTCAAAGCAATTAATAATGTTGAATATCCAGATTTCGATAACGAAATCGATATCAACAGGCCTGGAATAGCAGTGAAGAATGTAGTAAAGTCATTATCTTTCCACGCATCGGAAGATTCTCAAGAAATTTTAGAATTTAATATATTATCGAAATATATAGCAGATCAACATTCAATAATCACATCCACAGCCGGATCTAATGAAATTATTATGAAAGAAAGTAAAATAAAAAAGCATATTGTTAGTGATTCAAATCCAAGCGAAGTTCATAAACAACCAATGGATCCTCAGGTCACAAATCGTATCGAACTTATTAATACTGAAAAAATATTAACTAATATAAATAATTATTTATCAGATGAAGAATCAACAAATAAAGAGCAGAAAAATATATTTGAATGCATAGTAGATTTCTCGAATCCAAAACAAGTTTCATTTTTCAATATCGATAGGAAATCACAATCGGATACAAAGATTCCTGTTAAAGAAATTGTTATTGCAGGCGTAGTAGCTTATATTTGTATCCCTTGAATAATTGTTTTCATCATCAAGTGTGTCCATCCAAATCGATGCTACAGAGCAGGAATTGATTGTCAATTTTGTTATGAATGCAATTGCTGTGCTTGTTGTCAATGGTGTGACGAGCTTTGTGATGATTGCTGCATATTTTACGATATGATAAGTTGGTGCTCATCTTTTTGGTATAAGACATGCTGTTCACATTGCTGCAGTAAGGAGAAATGCAACAATTCTGAATCATGTGATTGCTGTGGAGAATTTCGATGGTATTTGCATTCTATGGAAAACTATGATGACCATAAATACAAACAATGGTGCTGCGCTAGGTTAAACAGATATTGCTTCCAGTGCTGCAAGGAATGTGATTCAGATATGTTACGTTGTTGCTGGATTTATGTTTTTATTCAAGGAATAGCATTCATTGCATTGGCGCCTTTTATTGCAATTTCTCTCTGCTGTCATACATGTTATCCTTGTGATGATGCAGAAGAACAATGGGAAAATGATACAGCAGCTATTATTGATTCAGAAGAATATGATCAATTATCAACAAGAAGAAAAATTGATGAAATTAGAAACAAAAAGACTTCTGAAGTTGTTGCACCAGTTGCAGAAACACCAATTAATGTATAACCATCTTAGTTTTTTTATTATTACTTCTTTTCATTGTTTGAAATCTAAACACATAACATCAAATTATATTAATATTACTAATTTTAGATCAAATTTAAGTCATATGATCTGAAGGAAATTAACTTCCTGTTTGAATTTAGTCCGATATAAATATATATTTAAATTATTATCTGATTATGCGGAATTTATGAAAATGTTAAAAGGAAGGAAAATAATTAATATTTTAGTAGAATCAAAAAATGGTGAATTAGTATATTGAATTTCATGATAACATTTTATTCAAAAGTATTTTAATGTTTCAAACAAAGCTGGACAACACCCGGTGTAGACGGTATCTCAACAAATGCTTGGTAAACCTTTGGCTGCTTTTGTTCTGGTATTTTGGCTTCCAATTCACTAACTTTAGCCTTAAGTTCTCTAATCATCTGCAAAATTTCTTCATTCTGTTGCTTCTTGGATTTTTTATGTTTTTTAGACGATTCATCTTTTATTTCATTAATTTGTTTTTCAATGTTGTCTAATCTACGATTTGTATCTTCGATCTGTTGTTGAGGTGACGAATCTAGTTGAGATAATGTATCAGTTTTAGTGCTTGTTTTATTCTTTTTTGGATGATTTTTCATCTGACGCCTTAATTCAGCAATATCCTCTTCTACTTGATTTACACCGTGTCTGATTTCATGGAGTTCGTTTTGTGCGTTTTCATTTTCACTTTGTACTGTTGACATAAAAAAAATAAATTTCGAAAACTGACAAATTTAATATTCATTAAAATAAATTTCATTATTATTTTAATTTCGAAAATATCAATTATGGATTCAAATCTATCAAAATGCACATTTTTAAATGTCCGCAAAAATCCATTCGAAAAAATCACCACAAGAAAATTCATCATAAACAAGAAAAGATGATGATATAACTTGACTGCATCGGGCTAAAATTGCTATTGTTCATGACACTGGTTTCTAACTTCCCGGTGGCAATGAATAGCTTAATTACTCGATGAGGATGAACTTTAAAATTTTTAACCACTAAGGTAGTTTTTGGGCTCCTTTTTTGATGAGCAAGGAATTAAATATATACTTAATGAAGATTACGCTATTCTATCTACTGGAAGTCAGCTAAATCTTTCAGAAGTTGTACTTCCGTCACTCATTAATGGAATCAAATTAACAAACATTTCAAAAAATGCATTCTTAGGCAGCCAACTTATTCACTCTGTATTTATATCTCGATTATAATCTTTCCGAAGTTAGGTTTGCCCTCGACTCAGAACTTGAAGAAATATCTGAAGGAGCCTTTTGGAGTTCATATAGCATTCAGCAAATAGTAATTCCTTCCTCAGTTCAAATAATTGGTTTTGCATGTTTCGAGTATACAAAAATTGTTGCATTCTGTTATTGTGGAAACTTATCATTCACTGATGGAAAAACAATTTTTAGAGGAAACTATGCATATACTCCTCCACAATATATTTTTGTTTCCAAAAACTATTCGTCCTCTATTTTAGGAGATGCAAAGAATACTGTTATTAATATTGATAGATGTGACGTTCCTCCAAATAATTTTTTGATTCGCTCTTGTAAAAACAATAATTTATATTTTATTCCTTTCAAGATGAATATCGTATCTCCTTTGATTATCTTTTATATGAACTAGTAAAAGTTTTTGTTTCTAAACAAGTATTGAGAACACTATGTTTTGAAATAATGATTTGGAAAATGATATATTCCTCCGAAATATATCATTTTATCCTTCTTCCAGTGTATATGAGTATCTAGGTTAGTTCAATATAAACATATGTATAAAAATTGAGTTTAATTAGCTTACAAATTGAATAATTTTTATATATTATCCAAGCATGATAGTTGATGTTTATTGTGAACATATTATTTCGGATATTTGAATAATTATTATAAAATAAAAAACGATCAAAAAATTGTGAGCGTTTGTGGCCCTTTATATATAAAAGCAAAAAGTTATGATTAAATTTTGTGTTTTGTATCATTTATAGTAATATACTTACAAGGGGTGAGAAACCAAAAATGCTCTGAAAAAATAAAATTTTAAAAAGTGACAAAATTTTTTATTAAATTATTATAAAACAAACCGTAATCCTTTATTATTTAATATTTATAAGGTTCCCAAATTTTAATAGGAAACTTCTCAAAATTTGTACTCAAAAGAGCTCAGTTCTTTGATATGCTCTGAATGAAAAATATGTGTTTTATGGTACTCATATTTGGGTTATTTACAATCAAATCTGCATGACCTGATATCCTCTCAAAAATTCCAAATCCTCTGAATTCATTCAATCTTGATGATTTTGCATTGAAATTTTATAAAATCAATGAAATTTTTATTCATGAAATGCTGATTTCCTTGAATTAAGCCATAATTTCAAGTAGAAATCATATAAATTTGAATCATTGTCATGCATCTCAGAAAAATTGAGAGACATCAAAAATCATTTTTTCTAATGGGAATTTTCCAAAGCGTACCTATTCAAGCTAATAATAATTATGCTCAAGGATTCATGAACCTCGATGACATCGAACCCAAGATAGATGTCTCTGAGTTCTACAAACTTCGAATCTACCAAGTCATGGTTTCTTCCTTCCAAGCTTCCAAGTGGTTCTTCGGAGGCTATGGCTGTGGTTATGGACCAAGTCACCACAGAGGAGACTTAGATGGCATCAACAACGCTCTTGACTATATCAAGTCTCTTAACATGAATGCTCTCTGGATTACACCAATCTTCGATAGTAACTACAGCTACAAAGGAAAGAGATTACAGTCAACAGGATACTTTTGCAATGACTACTTCAAGGTCGACAAGCACTTCGGAGGCGACCAAGCTTTCAAGAGATTAGTAGATGCTTGCCATGAACGTGGAATCTACGTCATCCTTGATGTTGCCTTCGGCCATAACGGAAAAGTCAAGAAGAACTCTCCATCAGGACTCAAGCCAACAGATGAAGTTGCAAAGTTCCCTGAATCTCTCGATTTCTGCCTTGAAGTCATCCAATACTGGACAGAGAACTTTGAAGTTGATGGTTGGAGATTGGATCAGTGTTATCAGCTTAACCAGGATGGTCACAATTACATGCACGATATCAAAGTTTTCTTCGAAAAGTTATGCACAAAGAGAAGAGAAGAAGGAAAGAAATGGGGAACTCTCGGTTACATTGTTGGTGAACATTGGGCTGGTGTTGATGAAATAAAAGAAACAACATACAAAGATGATGGTCTCTTATCTGCATTCGACTTCCCAGCAAGATATTCATTGGTTGCATCAATAGCTCAATGTGAAGATGGAACAACAGGTGGTGTCGACAGATTATCCTATGTTTTCAATACACCACAGAACAAAGGATATTACGACAACTCCATTCCAAACATGTTCATTGGTAACCATGATTTGTGGAGACTCGGAAACCTCATTCGCTCAAGACATAAAAGTGATGAGAGTTCAAAGATCTACTGGGATATCCACAAACTTGCTTTCTCAGTTCTTGCAGCCTACTCAGGTCCAATTACTGTCTACTACGGAGAAGAATATGGAGATGTTACACTCAATTGGTTCGGTGATAATTCTTGCGGTAAATATATCGCTAGTGACAATTGCTCTAGAACTAATGGTAATATCTCTAAGTTCGATTCTAGACAGAGAGATCTCATTCAATTCGTCAAGAAATTGATGAAGTTCAGAAATGAGAATCCTGCTTTATACAGAGGAAGAGATTCAGTTACAATCCAAGGCGATATCCTTGTCAATTACAAATATGATGATGAAACAGGAAACAAGGTCATCACCATGTTCAATATCGGACAAAATGAATCCACTGTCAACTACATGTGCGATCATAAGGAAATTATGAATATCATGAATCCGAAAGAGCAATATCAAGTTTCAGATAATGGAACTTTCGATGTTACTCTTAAGAGAATGGGAACAGCATACTTTACAGTTGTTGCTTAAAATTCGGAAATCATGTCATAATTTTCAAGAATATCTAAGAATAATAATATTATCTTGTTTTTAGAGCATAAAATATTATATATCTATCTATAAAAATCACTATACTTTTAAAATTTTTTATATCTCATTTCAAAACTATGATAAAATTATAAAATGAGCCGGAAATCTTCATTTATAAGAGTGTGTAATTTCAAATTAGTTAAGCTCGCTTAGATCTATTATAGTTTGAATAATAAAATTGATTTAATCCAATTTAAATCAAGCATTGCATGCATGCTTCGTGTTGTTATGTCCTAATGTGATTAAATTAGCTTTAATGGCTAAAACCTCGTAGAATTGCATTGCAAGATTAAAAATTAGACTTTTTAATGATTTTAAACAATAACATTTAGCATGATTAACAAAAACAAAATAATATTATATAGAAATTTGCAGCTTTCCACGATTCATCTTAGGTTTGATGATTAATGTAGATGGTGAGAGGTATTTCCTTAATGGAAGAAATGTATTTTTGCGTACAGTGCAATGTGTGCATGATGCGGCTTCTTTAAATACAGGATAGTGGCCGAGATCAAAAATTGTTGGCCTTTTTGATGGATCTTTTTCTAAGCAATCACCGATAGCTGCAGCCAGATCTTTATTATCAATAAGATCAAGATTTGGATCGTTTTTCATTAAGTTTTCGCACATTTCTTCTTTTGTTAAACCATCCCAAGGAAATTTTCCTGTGGCAATGAAATATAAGGTGACTCCAACAGCCCAAATATCGGCTTTAAAAGGATCATATGGTTTCATTTCCAAAATTTCCGGAGCCATGAATGGTACGGACCCTGCAAACTGCCTGTTTACATGGCAGCAATCGCCTATAGCTTTGTTAATGGAGCTTAATCCAAAATCGCAAACGCGTATACGATCATACTGGTCAATTAAGAAGTTAGCTGGTTTAATATCAAGATGAGCAACATTGTATCTATGGCAAGCTTTGATTGCATTTACAATTCCCATGCAATACTTAAGTGTTGTTTTAGAATCACTGATATTTCTTCTTTTAATGGCTTTTTCCAATGATTGTGGACAGAATTCCATTAAAAGATAGACAGCATCTTCATAGTATTCATAGTTATAGAGTCTGATAATGTATGGATGATCAACATCTTTCATAACATCAATCTCGTTCTTATTGAATTTTGTTTGAAGCATCACTTTTAAAGCAAAATCTCGTTGGAATGCAGGATCATATATCAAATACACTACATCGCTTTGTCCCCAGCCAAGAACATCCTTAAACTGATAGTTTTTCATTTTTACATAGCTTTCATCTCGTGCATTCATTTTAATGCTTTGAATAATTGAATGGAAAACATGACATGCAAAAAAATGTGATGTTGATTGATTTTTAATAGTAAATCCTATTGTACTTAGTGATGAATAAATTTATAAAATCTCATTGAAAATACATCTGATATCAAAAACTATAAATTTATATTTTGCATACATTAATAAGTATTTCTTATGCAATCGATCTTTTCTATAAATTCAAATTTTTGTGTGTAATCTTTTCAAAGTTAAAATAAATAAAAAAGTTGCATCAAAATTATATTTCAGCTTATTGTCACATCATTTATGATAAATTATATTTTGAATAAGTCCTTTTCAATACTGTTTCAAAGCTTTAATTTTATCGTGCTAAAAATTAACAATTAGTGTTAATTTGAAAATTTACTGATTATAAAATTATGACTAGATATGGTATTATGATCTAATAAATAAATTATTTTCTCCAAATTGATGATTTTTTTTAAGGGTGGCGGAAAGTGAAGTGAATGACCAAAAATAAAATGCTATTATCTCGTCATATTTTTGATATCTTTTGGTAAAAATTATATGGATACAAAACTCATTTGTAGGAGTATATGTGTGCCATAATTTCATTATCATATATGAGAGCTTTTGGTTTTCCCTCCTATGATAAATATGTGAATTATGCGTTTGATAGGGGTAAAAAACTTTAAATATCTCATGATTGGAGCTTTAAACACAAAATTTACTCAATAGAAAATATAGATAACAATAGCTTATATATATTTAAATATAAAGAAAGACTCCTTATCTTATATTGAAAGACAAGATACAAATCTAATTAAACTCTGAATGGGAGCAAATTGTAACGAAAAGTATCGGAAGTAATTGGTATTTATATGTTATTTATTCTCATACATTGATTTTGTGCAAATTTGATAAGTAGTTCCAGATCTCATCAATTATTGCATCTTGGACGAATTTAATAGATACGTATTTTGCTCAATAGAAAAGATAGATTTATGTACCTATATTGCATACCTTAAGTATTTTTGATATTAATTCAATAACCAGAGACGAGATACAGTTGAAAATTCATTTTTTTCATTCATTATTTCTCTACCAGATAAAGACCTCAGACTCTACAAACTTTGTAGTAAAGACTTGTTTATATATACTATTTAGTTATGCTACAATAACAAAAGAATTTCAAATATTTATTTAGTTATTTTCACTTTATGTTATTCGGTCACATCACTTTCCGCCACCCTTAAACAGTTTTGAAAATGGGTTTACAGACGACCGTCATCATTTCTTAATTGCGTATTGTGCTTGTATTTGGAATGTATACAGTTGGAAGTGTCTTGTAATATGATTGGCCCAATAAAGAAATATCAAATTGAGAACCATTCTTCAATTTAAAACAATTCTCAATTTTTTAAAATCATGACAGTATCTATGAAACTGAGATAAGAAATAAAAAATAAAAATAAAAAAAATCGGGGAAAAAAATTGAAGTAACTGTCACAAACCTGTATATTTTTAAATCATTTTCTATTGAATCAAATTTACGAAATCGATAGAATCAACTAATTTTGGATTTGCTACACTTTTGTTAAGTAATATGCCAAAAATTGCATTTTTTACCTGTAATTTGGTGTTAATATAGTAAAAAATGATAAGTTTAATGATATATTCTTAACACATTTTAGATGAAAATCATATGGATATTATGGTTTTTCATCTGTCAATTAAACTGACAGTCTTTGATTAGATATTATTATTAAATCATTATTATTCCAATGAATTTAACATAGGATTCTTCATCACAACGTGAAATTTTCACAATTATTATAAACTATTGAACATAATTTGTTATTTTCTTATCTTTATAATTCAAATATAGAGTATATAATCAATAAACGCATATTTATTAATGATTTTCTTTAGACAATTTTTGGGCATCTTCATAGCCTCCAATGTTTGCAACGTTTTGGTAACCCATAGCTAAAAGGGTATTCTTTGCTTCGCCAGCACGGCCACCAGCAGCACAATGTATGTTAATTGGTGTCTTCTTGTCTGGAATTTCGTCTGTGATACGGGACTCTACTTCGTAAGATGGAATGTGAATTGCTCCTTCGATGTGGCCAGCATCCCATTCATCATTAGCTCTAACATCAAGGATAACACCTCCTGGAAAATATGAATCAAAAGACATCTTGAAAAATGAAATGACTTGGCTAAAAGTATTGAATATTTCAAAATCATGATTGAATAGTTTTTATCGAAAATTTTTGGCAGCCAAATTAGAAAACAAGATTTTTAAATTATATTTATGCAATAATAAAATTCATTTGACATTTTATCCTAATTCAATTAATAAAATGCTTACCAAAACATAATCATTTGATCTATGCCATTCTAATACACTATTTAATTACAGCGATTCGAAAATTTTTTATAATTGCCATAAATTTTTTATGATAAACAATCAATAAATACAAGAAATAATGAATAAATTCTCTAATAATTATTTTTTGATAGTATAGATGGTCTGACACAACCTCTCAATTTGATGTTTTATCCAAGACCAAATTAAATGAAATGCTGATACTCATGCTAATAACTTTAATCTGCCAAATCTGCTAATTGTCCTGTCAAAATCATAGAATTTCAAACAATTGCCTTAAAAAAATTGATTTAGGGATAGTTATCACTAATCTTCAGAATGCAAAGGCATGTTTAATCAAAATGTTAAAAAATTTAAATACCATGATGCTTTTTCAGTTCTAATAAACACGGTCAAATGGGTTGATGACCAATATAAAGAATATGCTCATACAAATATTAACCAAGATCAAATTAATATACGGACAATGCCTATTATCAGTTTTTGTTTAGAAATAAAATTTTTCATTTTAAAGTCTACGCAGCCATAACATTATTCCTAATCCAATCAAAAAAGCCATCAAAACAATAAAAACAATACCTATTTCAAACAACAAACAAACATAAAAATATATTTATAAAATTATTTCAAACAAACAATATAACAATATATAAAATTATGATACAATAAATGGATCATTGGATTCTGTCGAAACATCAGTACTATAAGTGAAACTCCATGAAAGATCGTCGGCTTCACCTTCAAAATCGTTATTACTTGCTAATCTATACAACTTTCTGGATGATCTAACAATGTTTATCACAGAAAGAATTACAACAACGATAGCAAGAATCGTACCTGTCGAAATGTTCACGACTTTCGTAACTTTTGGAACTTTTGTCTTTATATATTTGGTCTGTATTGGCGGATGCGTCTCTGCAATCTCGGGAATATCATCTCCTCTAATAATTACATTTTCTGGATCTTCCCATTCTCCGTCCCATGTAGCCGATGGTGTTTCTACAGGAGTACTTGGATTATCTGTAGAAATTGTTGGCCGAGATGTGGCCGGAGATTTTGATGAAGATGTCGAAGAGGAAGATGAAGTAGATGATGTAGTTGATGATGGAGAAGACGTTGATGATGACGATGATGACGATGAACTTGACGATGAAGATGATGATGAAGGCGATGGCGTTGGAGTGCTTGTTTCTATGGGCTGGACATCTGGTTCTGTTGGGTTATTATCAACTGCCATGTTTTTGCTATCAAAAACAAATTTCGCTCCTTCAAAATCTTGAGAATAAGACTCTGCTGCAAATTGTAAAGTTCTTGTTGGAGTTGATGAAGCAATATTGAGAATAAGATATACTGTATGGTTATTACGAGTACCATTATCATATGCCTCTACAGTAATTGTGTCTGTTATATATTCAAAGTAGCTATTGTCGACCATATATTTAAGAGAATCTGTATCTTTATTAAGCGTGTTTTGAATTGTCACTTCCATTGTCTTATATGGATATATTAAGCAAAAAGTTGATGGAAATGTAATACTATTTGAAGAAACAAAAGATTGTAAATCAAATGCGGGTCGTTATCGATTTTGTAATTTAATCGTTATCGTTATCGATTTTGTAATTTAATCGTTATCGTCTTTTTCTAAACGTGCATTTTCTTCATATTGGGATAATGAACATAACTTGTTCTGAGCTTCCAATGCACAAATCGTTTTTATTCTAAATGGATTCATTCCTACAAGTTTGGCAGAAATCAGTGAATATCATCATATATCGAATTCTTCAATTTGGCAATTTATTTAAAATCGTTCTCAAGAATTCTTATCTTCATGTAGTCAAATAAAACGGAAATGCGAAAACAAACTTTTATTCGATATTACAAAAAAAAATTATATTGATCGCTAAGATTTAAATACGTATAGTTTAAGTATATGTGGTATCATTATGTGCATATTCTGATATATATACTTGAATGATATCACAAAAATAACAGAAATACAAATCTTGAATTAAATTATATCATAGAATACAATTTTAATAAACGAAAAATCAAACCCTCTCGCAATACAGCCATTTTAAGAGTAGTTCTTTCAAGATCTTCGAAGATTTGGAAGATCTTGGAAGAACTGCCCTCTAAATGGCTGTAGCTTCGGTATTGTTACTATCAAGTAGAAAGTTACGGTAATTACTGCCATTTTAAGAGTAGCTCTTTCAAGATCTTCGAAGATTTGGAAGATCTTGAAAGAACTGCCCTCTAAATGGCTGTAGCTTCGGTATTGTTACTATCAAGTAGAAAGTTACGGTAATTACTGCCATTTTAAGAGTAGTTCTTTCAAGATCTTCCAAATCTTCGAAGATCTTGAAAGAACTGCTCTCTAAATGGCAGTAGTTTCGATGTTAACATGATAATATGAGTGAAATTTTCTTATTTGAAGTCGGTTAAAGAGCAGTTCTTTCAAGTTCCTTCAAATCAGGAAGGGTCTTGACAGAACTGTCCTCTTATTGATTGGAATACCGGTATTTTACGTTGGTAAATGCTTGATTTGAATTGGGGGCTGTGTGTTGGAGAAAAAAACATTAAAAAAATAAAAAGTGCCAAAATAAAAGAATTCAATCTACATATATATAGTATTTCTAGGCCTGTCCAAACTTTTAAAAAGGCTTACCACGTGGAAGGAAGAGACCAAAAAAATCGTGCTCCGGTGGCTTCGCCGCCTCGGCACTAAAAACAGCATATCATATTTAATATGTCCTTTTTTCTTTTTCTCTTTACCTCTTTCTCTCTCCTTCTTTTTTTCCTTCTCTTTTTCCTTCTTTTCTTCTCACTTTCTTTTTGGAGCTGCTTTACTTTGAAATCTCTCATCAATTGATGAGAGAAATAATAGTAAAGTAGCTTCAATGTAAATACGTACATTGATTGGGTTATGGTTAGCGGTAATGTCTGTATGTAGTTCGATTGGAGCTGCCTCACTCTGAGATCTCTCATCAAATGAAGAGAGTTCTCAGAGTGAGGCAGCTCCAATGTATATGTGCGTATTGATTGGGTTGCTGTAAGAAGCAGTGCTTGTGTGTAGTTCGATTGGAACTGCTTTACTCTGAGATCTGTCATCAATCGATGAGAGTTCTCAGAGCAAAGCAGCTCCAATGTGTAAATTTGTATTAGTTCGGGTGAAAGAAGTTGTAGTGCTGGTGCGTAGTTTGACTATCAAGAAGCTCGCGATTCAAAACTCATCAAATGAAAAGTTTATAGTGGGCTTCTTGATAATATGTTAAAGGTGATGTTCTTGTTTGAGTTGTAACAAGAAGGAATACATGAGTACGTAAGCTCGGCATTCGCCAAGCGAATTAAAGATAACGGACGAATTTAATTTATTTTATTTCAAAATTTAAAATTTTAATATTTAATTATATAAATTAAAATAAACATTTTTACAAATTTTTATAAAAAAATATGTGACATATCGTTTTACCACAATTCAAAATAATTAATGTTGATAAATGTATTTAATATGTAATATTAAACATATTTTGCGCGAGAAGTGAGTTGTGGTAACTTTCGTGGATATCCATCGTTCATTTTATGGTAAAAATTCTCAATTTGTGGGAAAAGTTCTCAATTTTGTGGTAATTTTTATGTACCACAACTCAATTTGTGGTCACTTCATCTTACGACGTGGTAAGTTTTTATAAAACTCTTTATTTACCATTGATTTCTGATTTAATATCAATATCTTGAATAATCAAGCATATCTATCGCTTTAAATTTTATTCTCTAATTCCAAAAAAAAATTCAAAAATCAAAAAATGAAAAAAAATATTTAGAATTTTTTCCGTCAAAAATAAAAAATGTTCCCACTGAGTGGTTTCCATGGAAAGTTGCCACTGGGTCCCACAGGGATTGGCCTAGGGCTGTACAAAATCGAGAAAAACATTGCCGTGCGGTAATATAGGGTCAAAAAAATCGCGCCTCGGCGGCTCCGCCGCCTCGGCACTATTAAGTGCGCATTATATTTAATATGTCCTTCTTTTTTTCTTTTTTCTTCTTCTTCTTTTCCTTTCCTTCTTCCTCTCCTTCCTCTTCTTTCCTTCTCCTTCTCTTTTTACAACAACGTCGAAGATCTTCGAATTTGATTGTTGGAAAAGCATCTATTTCAGATAAAGGATGCCTTTCTCACAGTCAACATACGAGGGTCCTGGCTGAAACGTTCTCAAAAAGCCTGAGATGGTAATTCTCTGATCACTCATAGCTGGGCAGGTAGTCATTGCTGACAATACCTGTCTTTATGCATGCACGCTTTCATGTATATGGGTTTACACTATCAATTCGCAAAGTTGTTCCGAATTCTTCCAAAATGGAAGGACCCGAAACAACTTTGCTTGTTAACGATACAGACGCATTACTTTGCATTGATACTGTGCTGAGTTGTGTAGAAAGTTTGATTAGAGTTGTTTTGTTCTGGTATCTCTCATCTTCTGATGAGAGAAATCAAAGCAAAACAACTCTAATGAATTTGTTTTCACTCATTTGTATGTAGGTTTTTAGTTCGATTGGAGCTGCTTCATAATGAGATCTCTCATCAATTGATGAGGGAGATCATAACAAAGCAGCTCTAATGTATATGCTCGTATTAACCGGGTTGTAATGCGTTGTAACGTCAGCTTGTAGTTCGTTTGGGGCCACTTCACATTGAGATGAGAAGAAATGATTAAAGGACTCTGAAAGGCTTTGGCCGTTGATGTTGTAATCGCATTACTTGGAACTAGCTGGATGCTAAGCTGTGTAGAATGTTCGATTAGAGCTGTTTTGATATGATTTTTCTCATCATAAGATTGGAGGAATCATAGCAAAACAACTCTAATGGGTTTACCATCATCTACTTGTATGTAGATGTTTGGGAAATTGTCTTGTTAATCGATTTTCGAGATGACTTTCAAATGCTATAATCAAATGACAAACAAGTCTAAGATTTCTCGACAATACATCAAATCATGATGTTTGTAAGTGCGATGAGATTAGAGTTTTTGAAGGAATGACAAGAGAAGTAGGGAAGCTCGGCATTCGCCGAGCAAATTAAAAATTAACGTATGGATTAAATTTTAAGAGGAATTCAATTTTAATTACGGGTTGTTCAAATATTGATTAATATAAATTTATTAATAAGAATAAACAATTTTTGTTTTTGAATTTATTCAATTTATAGCTTTACATATAGTTTCAAAATTGTACAACTATGATTATTTCAACAAAAAATATCTTACTTTTTCACTTCACTTTCACCCTCACTTTTTCCGTAATTCAAATTTCAACATTATGTATTTTAATTCCTTATAGTATTTTTAACATAATTAATCAAATAATAATTGGAAGTTCTGAACTCACTTTTTCCGTAATTCAAAATCAAAAATATGAATAATATATCTATTTATTATATACTAATGCTATTTTCAACTAGAAGTGAGGTACGGTAATCTTACGGATTCCCGTAACTCAATTTTACGGAAAAAGTGCAGTAAACTACTCAATTTACGGAAAAAGTGTCGTAAACTATTGATGTGGCGGTAAAATCACGGTAATTCACGGAAAGCTATATGCGAAAATTTGAAATTATACAAAATCGAGCGAAACACTTTTAAATAGGTTGTTCTCGTATTTAAAATACTATTCCCAGATTTATTGTCGTCAGAATATTTCCAAATTTTTGCCGATTTACAAAAAATGATTTACAAAGCATATTTTTTAATCTAAAAATTCCTTAAAAAAGGAACCGGTGTGCGGAAACCTCGGTAAATTACCGCGGTTCCCGTTGGGACTGCCATAGATTGGCCTAAGTATTTCTTAATAGAATGTGAAATAAAGTAAAATTAACTATATTCAAAATGGAAAAAAATCCAAAAAAATTTTGAAAAAAAGAATTTCATGATAAAAAGCATAAATTTTGCATCAGAAAATTAAATTCGGGTATTTTTTTGAAATAGAAAGAGTCCTAAAATTAGTTAAAAATCATTTTTTATTCAAAAGAAACGCTATTTTTAAGGAATTGAAAAGAATTTTATTTAATAATATTTTATTTATAGAATTTGCATATATCATATGCATAGACATATTGAATTGTAAACATGAGAACACTAATTACATTAACTTGTCGTTCAAATTATTGCATCGAGAAAAAAGTGCTATAAATTTACTCAATTAGTTTACAAACGTAAATATTTGGCATAAACTTTACATTTGTAAACTAATTTGGTAAACTCGTAGTTCAAATTATTGCATCGAGAAAAAAAGTGCTATAAATTTACTCAATTAGTTTACAAACGTAAATATTTGGCATAAACTTTACATTTGTAAACTAATTTGGTAAACTCGTAGTTCAAATTATTGCATCGAGAAAAAAAGTGCTATAAATTTACTCAATTAGTTTACAAACGTAAATATTTGGCATAAACTTTACGTTTGTAAACCAATTTGATTAAATTTAGTAAATTTTAGTTCGAATGCAAGTTTTCTCGGTAAATCATTTTTTAGACCTCAAATGAGATATATGATCATATGAGTCACATATGATTTAATCCGAATATGTGTGAGAATTGAATTTAAAACGAAGTTTATTTTTTGGACTATATTTCGCCATTTTAAAATGTGTAATAATGATATAATTCGCATGAAATTGAAAAATATTGACTGGATGTGTAATGGTTTTATAATTGCAATGTTGATTTGATCGAATTTAAATGAATATATAACGCGATGAAATTTCGAATTGCTCAAATGTCTGTAATTCATATATGGTGCACATATTAATATTACATTTCGTTGATATTTACCACATAAACCTTTAAATATTAAGTCATTTTAAAGTTATATGCGATTTAGTTCCAAAATGCACGTTTAGAAAAAGACGATAACGATTAAATTACAAAATCGATAACGATAACGATTAAATTACAAAATCGATAACGATAACGATTAAATTACAAAATCGATAACGACCCATCAAATGCTATCGTAGACAATATATAAGTTCCATCAGGACACATTGTGGGGTTTGAGGCTCCACCTCTAGCATATATACTTCTCGCCGTTTGAGGAATAACGCGAACAAAAACTTGGCCTGATGAATAAAATATAGTTTTCCTTTGTTGTTCTGTAGATTGAAGCCATGAAGGATCATTAATATCAACAACCCAGTTATCTGATAGACTGTATTTAACTACATCTGTATCTTGTAAGTCGAATATATGCAAAAATGTAAATGCAGATTCAGCATTTTTTTGAGTGTGAAAGAGACAACCTGTGTCAGCGTCACAGTTACCTGACTTGAGGTTAATGTTGTAATCGAAGAAAACTTAATCAGAATACAATAGTATGAAAATTTGTAACATTAATTATGAAAAAATCAACGAAATTTTGAGAGGAAAGGTTCAAAATTTTGAAAGAAACAAAAAATAAAATATAAATGATAATATGCATGTTTTCATGTAATTATTTAAGTCCTATTAAACCATAATATCCATTACAATGCAGTTTATGGAATCACGTTGAAAATTATTGAATAGAAAACATTTTATATCATATGAGCTGCAATACTTAATGAATGAATTTCTTTTTAAGTTAATTGTTTTTTTTTTAAATAACATTGAATGTATTTTAATTAACAGTGGAGTGAACAATTGGTAATAAACATAATAAAAGCAATACATTTGAAGAGAGTTTTCAATTAATTTTCAAACGTGCTTTCATCAAACCTACTTGGTTTTAATTAAAAAATTAAGAATATATCAATTGCATGATATAATTAATTTTCGATCATATGATAAAATTTACAGTATTTTTCACATCGAATTAATTAATACTTAGGACTACATTATAATTCAAATCACAAATTTAAATTAATTGATGTATAGCCTTTTTTTTACAGTCTGATAGTTTCTGGCGTTCTAACTTTTTTGGCATAATCGTACTTTGCTATTTTTCCTTATGTTATCAACATACATACTAATGCAGTACAAATTATTTACAAACTGTTGTTAGTTAACATAACAAAACATTGATCACATGCAATATAGTCATAAGGAATGGAAATACATGCGTATCTAGGAAGAATAGCACAAGATTAGTGTTTATCCCTTGCTGTTTTCACTATAGTTTATCATAATCTATCGAAAAAAAATGCGATAATTCTATTATCATAAAAATTATCGAAAAATATCTCGAAACCAAAGAAAAAAGTGCGAGTGCCAAGCCTATTACAATGCACCTTTAATGGGAATATATTCAAAAATTTTAATTAAAAATTTTTGCCTACGACCGGAGTTGAACCGGCGACCTTGCGCTTACAAGGCGCACGCAATAACCACTATGCTACGCAGGCTTTACATCTATTCAATTTCTTATACATATATATTTATTATTCCCCTTTCTCAAAGAATAGATGAAATTCATTCTTCTAATTTTCTTATATAAACGATCTGAAATTTGAGAAATTATCACCAAAAAAGTTACATCCTTCTATATTTGGGAATAATTATTTATATTGATCACTTAATGAAAGTCAGCCAAAATATGATATTGTAATTAACAATAGATTATCAATTCTTTAATCTCTATAAACATAAACAATTTTAATACATTTCAACTCTTTGTGTGCGGATGAGAACCTTAGGACCATTATTTGAGAGCTGAATTTCCTTAACTTCTGGCTTTGCTGTAGAGAAGTCGGAAATGAGAAGTTCTGTTTCACCAAGCTTTCTGTCATCGGACCAGAAAGATTTCCTATTGACCATTGTAAGGCAGATTGATGATCTCTTTGGATCAGTATAAGAGAATTCGAATTGGTTGGATTGTGATCTCTTGCCGGATTCGAACTCGAAGACGTGAGATCTTTTATTCTTGGCTGGACCGACGTAAATGAAGCACTTTCCATCGAAGTTATTTGTTGGGAGAGATGTAACTGTGATCTTGAACATATTCATGTTGTTGCATGGCATGAGTGGCTCGTAGGAGTTCTTTGTGAACATCTAGAAAAATGATTGTAGCTTTTTGAGTTCTCAATCTTGATTTGAGAGTACTTTCAATTTGAGGTAATGCATTCAAATTTGGACATCAGGCATCAATTTCTGAATTAGCAAAAAATTTCGAGTTCATTTAGGTAATAAGAATGAGTAGGTTTAAATTATTTGTTGTGCTTCAATTTTTTTGGCTATTTATTCATTCAATTTTGACCATCGTTTCCTTTCAAACTTGATTTGGTTCATATGCCGAACGTTTTTGAAGTTCTAAATGCCATCAAATATATAACAATTAATCAAAAATTTCTAAAATTTAACGATTGATAAAATCAAACATCGTTAGGTCAGATTTGTGTACTTTACAACTAAGTTTTCAATGAAAATTTCAAAAATCGTTGAGCAAATATTCACATATATTTGAAATACATTAAAATATACTAATGTTTTTATTTTGAAATAACTTTGATTTCCTATCAATTTTTTTTATTTCAAAGTCGAACAATTCGAATAAATTTTTTATTAGAATATCGTCCTATAATAATATTAATTACTACAATCTCCTTGTAATTATTTCTAACATTAAATTACAATGTTTTCATATATCGCAATTACCAATTGACAAAAATTATCTAAGGATTCCAATTACTACCCATTGTTTGAATAACTATACTCTGAAATTTGATTGAACAACATTTTAATGATATTTCATTTATTGTTTTATCAAACAGTTGGATTTCATTTAATTAATAGATGAGAACATCTAGTTATAGTGTAAAGCAAACTAATGAACTGATATTGCTTAATAGCATCTAAGATTGCTAAAATCCGGAATCTTTTTAGGAATAATCTCTGATATACATATTTCATATGAGCCAATCTCATTACATTTAATAATACAATAATAAAATATATAGTATAGATCAAGAACAGTTATTTGAGATGAGAAGATATTTGTTCTTTGGTGTTATAGGACATGCTAGTAAAAACCAACTGTACTTGCTCGGAGAGGCATTTTACGAAGTGATATATTGATTTCATCAAAGAAATAATAAATCAGTTAAATATTTTCATCAAAAATTTTTCATAATGACACGTAGGAATTCATTTTAATCCGAGATATTTCAGTATTATCTTCTAAACTTCATTGTCTTGAGAGTTTGAATTCATTGATAGAAGGTACCTAAACAAATCAGATGTTGGACATGAGATTAACTATAATGAAATACATTTTATCATGGAGATCATATTCTTTCTTTCTAAAATAGCCGGGCTAGCATGATAGGGACTTTTCATTGTTACATCATTCAAAAGATAACGAACTTTAATGAAAAATCTGGTAAAATACTATCTTTCATTTAGATCTATAGTTTAAAAAACGATTACGGTTTTTACAAATAAAAAAACGGTAAATTTTAAAAATTTTTTAATAATTACAACGAACCATGTCTGACCATCATTATATTCTAAAAAGTATGAATTGAAAGGGAAATTTTTATTTTGAAGAGCTCAAATGAATTCAAAATTTTGTCAAGTTTAGGTTTATCATGGATTCTTTTATCACGTTCAACATCCTTTGCTCGGACGGTAGAAAGCAAACAGTATCCGGGAAACGAAGCCAATCACTCAGAGAAGTGTTTTCTGATTATAATTTCCTCAAATCAAATTCCACAGAATACCATTTCATCAAAAACAGGCTAGCACTACACATAGACATATCACTTGGGGCGCTGGGAATAACTGATGGTGATACCGTGTTCGTAATCAAGCGCAATATCGCTCCAAAGATAAACTACCCAAACAATACAGCCTTAGAAGAATCCGTTTGCCGAGAGGCCATCAGAATGTCAGATATACAGTTTTCTCATTTGGAACTCTTCAAGAGAGCTCGAAATGTTTATTCGACCTATTTCAAGCACCAGTCAGATTTTTCCTCATCCGAAATTCATACTCCAGTACAAAAGAGCTACATCGCTGAAGCCGCGACCTCTGTCTCTCAAACATCTCTTCCAATGCTATGGACTTCCAGCGGAAAGCCATACATTCGTTGCCCAATTTACAGAAACCAGAAGAATGTTCAAGAGGAAAAGTGTGAGTAGTTATCTCCCAATGATTTTTCAAATTTTGAATTTGACCTACTTTTATTTGATTTTGTTTGTAAATTTCTATTATCGTTTTAACTACTGTCTTGTTTTCTTACTATCTTCCAGATTTTGGCTTTCTACATACCTCATTCCAGGTTTGGTCTCTCTTTTTTTACAACGCCATAAATCGTAAGATACTTGCCAATGCACTCATGATATATATCTAGCCAGATTTATTCTAACCTCTGTTCATTATGGTCAATGAAATTTCGATCAAGCATTTTTAAGATCTAATAAGATTTAAATAATAGTTGTTGTATGATTCATGAAAGATAGCAATTTCGACTAAAATAATCCAACAATCAATCGGATTTCAGAGAATCAATCAAACAACCAATACCCAACAAAAAGCAAGCTTAATACTCTCATCATATTCAGTCAGTTTCTCGCTCCACACTCATCAATTTAACCGTTCATGCATTGAGAAGTTCAAAATTCATTTGACGATTCTGGATAAATGAACTTCTCGTTAAAATCATTAATACTAATAACCAGATCGTTCTGATTTTGTTATCAACATTATCAGAATTTTTTGTGTTTTCAAAAAAACACAAAAAAAGTTTATTTAGAATGACATTGACTGGGGCGATCATTCGCCCTTATCAAATTGGACCATTATTAGGAAAAGGTTCATATGGTGATATATATGCAGCCAGAAACACAGAAGATGGAACATTTGTCGCAATTAAAATTGAATCTTTAACTTCAGAAAGAAAAGTCTTAGAGACAGAAGCATACATCATGAGGAAAATAAGCAAATTTACATTCTTTCCCAAGTATATAACATTCGGAAAAACCCAAAATAACACGTTTTTAGTGATGGAATTGTGCGGACCATCCTTATCATATGTTATAAAGAATCTTCCGGAACATAAACTATCTCTATCGACTGGAATACGCACTATGTACATTGTTATGCAAGGACTAGAACAACTTCATCACGCCGGAATTATTCATCGCGATGTCAAACCTTCTAATGTACTTCTTAGAACATCAATATCGAATCCAATTGCAATTATTGACTTTGGACTATCCAGAGTTTTTATTGACAAATGGACGAAAAAACAGTTACCTCCAAGACAAAATCCAGGCTTTCGAGGGACTACAATATTCGCTTCTCCACATGCCCATTTACACCAAGAACTTTCTCCGCGTGATGACTTGATTTCTTGGTATTATATGTGTATTGACTTAATTGTTGAGCCACTTCCATGGAGAAACATAAAAAATAGAGCAGATATACTAGAGAAAAAGCTTTCAACCAATTTGATGGAACTTGGAACTGAAATTGCACCTCAATTTCAACTAATCTGGCGTCATATTACTACATTGAACTACGAAGATACTCCTGATTATAACTACATATACAAACTCCTTGAAGAAGTCATGAGAGCCAATAATATTAATATGATGGATCCATTTGATTGGAATCATAACATATTAAAGGTTGTTCCGACCGAGAATGAGTCTCTTCCAAGGAGTTCATTATCTTCAGAAGCATCAGTTCATGAAGTTGAAAAAATTGATCCAGAACCTCAAACTCAGTACAATCAAATTGATCCTACACCTTTAATTGCTGTTAAAAGCAGCAAAGCAGATGCTGTTTATACAACAGCCTGTGAAGCTGAAGACAAATGTTGTTGTTGTTTATTAGTATAAAATTTATGTTTTGTTAATTGAATTATAATATATATTGTTTAAGATTATGTGATGCATTTTAATATTTTTATGAATGAGAGTTTTATTGAATATTAGGTACAAAAGTTGTTAATTTGGATGAGATTTTAGGATTCCTCAAGTTTGCAACAAATCAAAAAATCTTAAAGCATATTCAATTCAGAATTTTTCGAACTCCAAAGCTAGATACTAGATTATTTTTATTAACAACATTAAAGGTATATTTACAACTTTCTGACTTTATTTCATATATCATGAAAAGGAGCCTCTTCACATCATTCAATAATGATAAATAAAATAGATTGTTAAGCAAAATGTTGGATATCATTATATTAGACATCATGCAGATATAGGAGAATTTCATAATAAAATAGACAAGAATGGAAAAACGCCACCTCATGAGGCATCAGACAATAAACGTTATGATTTAGTAACATTTCTGATTTAAAATAGTACAAACAAATAGAGAATCATTTTTTACTCAAGAATGATAATAATGAAAGGTGATATACTCATAATATTACTATGGAGATTCTTCATAACTGGGCATGAATTAGGTATCATTATTTGATATTTGTTGTCAGCTTTAATAACAGACTTTCCTGCAAAAGTACTATAGTTATAATTGAAAACAAAAACTCTTTCAACCGCTTTTATTGCGAAATCTCCCCTAACAAATTGATTACCGAAATAAAACAAATTTTTAACTTTTGGACCAAACCAATCATTAGCATCAATTCGATTAATATTTCCTGTGATATAAAGATTAGTTACATCAAATCGAAAGAAAGCACCAGATGCTATATTTTTAACACTTGGTGGAAAAACAAAAAAATTAAATTTCATATTTAAAGATCGATACCGTAAAATTTCAACGCTATTTACAAGAGTTTTATTTGAATTTAAAGGGGGTAAAAAGCAAAGTTCAGTCAAGGCTTTATTATATAAGATTCCTTCAAGGCTACTGTAGTATGTGTTATTACTAGAAACATCGATACTTTCTAATGTTGGATTATCTCCGAATGCGCCATCTCCAATATATTCAATATTCTCACCGATTGACACTTTTTTTATTTGATTTGAAGAGAACGCATTACCTCCTATAATTTTTAGAGAAGATGGTAGTTCTAAATTATCGATTTTAAGCCCACATAAATCAATACCCGAGGTTTTGATTTCAATCAAAGAATCAGGAAAAGATATTGAAGACAGAGCTTGCCCATAAATATTTCAATTCAGAAAATTTTCTCCTATTTTCTCACTTTTCTGACACAAGTTTTTTGGTATTTTTTACCTAGGAACAATAAACTTTATATTGCTATTTTTCGTGTGAACAAATCAATATAAAAAACAATTGTTTCAAATACAAAGTAAATATATAAAAATTTGCATTGATTGAAAAAACAAATATAAACAAAATAGATTTATTCAATTGCGCGAAGTTGCTTTGATAATCTGAAAATTCTTTCAGACAAAGGAGTGTTAGACACATCTTGTAATTTTTCTCTCAGTATTCTTGCAGCACTTCTTTCGCAATCAACAAAATTTGTCTCTGAAGTAGAAATTTCTTGTTGCAAAATGTCAACAGTTGATTGCAATGGATTTTGTCTCGTTTCAAGAGAAGAAAACAAAAACCTGATGCTGTCAAATATGGCTCTATTAGGTTTTTCAACACCAAGTAATAAACAAGGTCTTCTTTCTATGTCTTCGCAGAAATTACTGAGCTCTGACATTCTTTTTTCGTTTTGATTAAATTTCAATTTGACTTCATCGATTTGTGCGAGCAAATTATCATCAATTCTAACACCAAAGTAGTCAATCAATCGCTTTGAAACTAAAACTTTGTCTCTTTTTCTTTCATCTTCAATATGTCTGATTGTTTCTGTTAATTTCGCAACTTCTTTACCAACAACACCACATATTGCATCAGAAACACTATTATTACTACTATAATTGTTTCCGGACTGATTTGTAAATGAAGAAAGAGACTGTGAAATATTGAATAGTTGTAAAATTTTTGTGATCGTCATTGAAAATTCAGAATTTTCTTTTTTCAATTCTTGAATTTCTTGTTGTAGCTTTCCTTCTGTCTTTTCTGATTGATGCAAGCGGTTGACTAAGGTCTGTGCCTCTTCAATAACTGTAGAAGTACCTAAAATCCTCGAAAGCTTGACAAATTGGCTCTCATAATCTTGGCATTTTCTGCATTCAGTACAAGAAGGGTCATTTAATAGATTATCGATAGTTTCTATCAAGTAATTGTCAGATGCTGCATTAGTCTGTCCAATATACTTCAAAAACTTCTCTTCTTCCTCTGCTTTTTTTGAGTTTTCGGATGTGCCAATTTGGTTTTCTTGTTTCTTTAACCTTAAATATTTCAATACATTTTTGGCCGTTTGTCGTAAACCCGTAACATTTCCTTTCTCTTTTTCTTTCTCGAGCTCGCTTTCTAATTCCTTATTCTTAACTTGTAGATTGGCCAAAATTCCTCTCAAATTTGACACTTTTTGAGTTTCCTCGGCCAAAACAGATTTCATTGCAGAATAACTCGATATAGTTTGATCTCTGTCTGCGAGTAAATTTGATAACCTCGTTCTATCGTCAATTATTTTGTCAACTCCGAAATTCAAAGCGTCAAAAAATTCTTTTACGATCTGAAGTCAACTTCGGACGTTTGAAGGCTATCATATCCTCTGTTTATCAATTCTCTGATGTTTAATTCTTTGTCAAAGTAAACTTCCACTTTGTCACTTTTTAGTTTTTCGTTACTTTTTTCATTTTGAATTTCTTTTGATTTTTCTTCTTCTATTTTCATGATTTCTTCTTCTGTCTTAGCAATATTGAGATTCTCTGCAATTGTTTGGAAAATAGGATTCAATGGAACCAAGTTTTGCTCAATCTTTGAAAGATCTTCATCATATAGAATAACTGCTCTTATTTCGGATATGATATCACAAACAGCATTGTAAGAACTGTTCTTTAGCTTCTCGTTTTCTTGTCCTTTGACATATTTTTCAAATTCAGTTGATATGCCGTAGAAATTTCTCTGGAAAACGTTTTCATGTCTTGGACAATCTTTTCTTGAGCTCTGTTTCTTTGATTTCTATTCATCAAAAAGAATTTGCCGATTAATGACTGAAACATCCAAATTTGTTGCTGAAATTTCTTGATATACTTCATTACCGGGTCATGAATTCCTGCATTATATGATTCGTATTTTTATATTGTCCAAATTGCTTAAAATTGAGTTGAAATTTTTGTCAATTGAATCTTGAATGTATTTTATACCATTTAGCTCAATATCTTTGATTGAGTCGGTGAATTTAGTCCAGTGTTTCATGAATGGCAGTGCTGAATTCTTAATAACTAGCGTCAAATTTGTTTGAGCTGGCAATTTTGAAAAGCATATTGCAGATCCGCCATTTTTGTTAAGTTGGTTGTAAAATGGAACAAAATACCGATCAACATTTGTTAAGCCTTTCTCCATTTGACTTCTAATTTGGGGTGTCGAACAATTATGGGAAATAAAAACAGAGATACTTTCAAGAAGAGCTCTAAACAGTGGTTTGATTTTAAGAACATTATCTTGTTCTTCTGAAGAAAGTAAAACTGGAAGACTTTCTCGACTGAAATTTGTTGTTAGCTTCGAGCCTGTGAATTTTTCATTCATAAATAGTTGACTGCCCCTAACAGCAGAGCTGGTTGAAGTGGAACGCGTTCTATAGAGCTTTTTGGTTAACATTAAAACTGAAAACCACTTCTCAAAAATTCTGACAAGATTTTAATCCGATTTCAGAGAATGTTTTTTAATCTTGTTGATCTCAATATAATACGCTATTGTTGTATTACACGCAGTAAAAGTGACACATCGATCAAGAAAATTTTCTGTTGTAAAATGATGATCCCCTGAAACTTGATCCACTAATATGAACACAATATATATATTAAAGATATTCAGTTATTTTATCTCAAACTCAAAGAATAGCAATTCAATTTTCTAAAGCCTTTATAAATTTTTACCCAAAAGAGTTAGCACTATGCCATTATTTATTCTAAAGCGAAAAACAGATTCCAAAAATGAATATTGTTCATTGCCTTATTAGTGAATGTAAATCAATAAATAATTCATCGCATTAAGCAAAAGAACAGGCAATCTTAAGGAAATGGATCAAATTTTATTGTTGTTACATAAAACAAATCGGAATAAATTTGAAATGCATAAGTTATTAATGATAAACATCATGATATTATGATAACATTCCCCTTTGATGGTACAAAATCAACTAATTATAGTTTAAAAAACCATAAAAAATTAGATAGTAAAAAATTTATTCAAACAAACAATTTATAGTAAAAATATCAATATTAATGGTGGTTGAGAAGCTGTAAAACATTGGTTGGATCAATTTCTTTCTTAACAACATTTTGCTTCAGATCGCCAATAATAATATTATTACCGATATGTTTCTGAGAGTGGATCATATTTTGTGAGCATAAGTATGGATAAATTGCCATCCAATTCTCAGCAAACCAGCATAATAAGGCTGTTTTGTTTCTTTTTGCCATTCTATCAATATAAATGCCGAGCTTTTGAGAAACCTTAACAGCGAGATCAAGTAATTCGGTATTCTTGAATGCATTTCCAAGTACACCAAAAAGAACGTATTGAACAATGTTTACATGGACACCTGCTTCATTAATTCTCTTTGAGATATCATCACTTGTATAGTGTGTAAGGAATTTAACTGGCTTCTTGATACTAACTGTATCAATTTCTGGCTGAATTGGCATCATCATCATTTTAGAAAATGAATGAAATTTGATATACCTTCTCAATTTCTGAATTTCATTCAAAACGGGTTCGACACGCTTTCAATTTCAGCCAATCAAGCCGATAGGTTCTAAACTTGAAATATGTGATATACAATTAATAACAATGCATTTATATTTGAAAAATTATCTCATTCAATTTTATAATGTCATAAATTTTTTTGATATATTAACCATACTTGTATAAATATTTAAATATATCAGGTAATTAAGGATCGGATGTTATCCATTCAATTTTTTGAATTATTAAAACGTCTGATCAACACGGGAATCAAAAATATAATCCAAGATGCTTTATCTAGCCCGATTTCACATTTTTCCAACAAACGGAATGTTATTTTCCAAATGGAAGATAAAAGTGCCACTTTTATTATGTGACAAATTTCCAAATACATTTGGTTAAATAGATTAAATCATATGACATTGATGATCCTGTATTGAGAAAAATCTTCTCCAACTCTAAAATTCAGTTCGTATTCAAATGCAAACTTCAGTCATATTCCCAGCCGTTATTTCTCCAAACGAGATCCTAAATAACATATAACTTAATAATAAAATACAAATATATTACATTATTTCATTTATTTTTTTTTCAAAAATTTAATATATTGGAAGTATATTCAGTAGTATTCGCAAGTATTACGAACACAATTCAAATTTATATATAAAATCTTTTAATTATTGATAAGAGTTGGTTAAATTTCAATCTGCTATTTTCAGCTTGTTGCCTTTACTCAACATTGCTTAGTAAAGTCGAAATATATATATGCAGACTAGAAATTCATGAAACAAGAACATATTAATCTCAGAATAACAACAAATGTTGAAATTAATTTCTTAGAATTGTAAAATTGCTAAAAATTTCTACAAAACTTGATTCCTCTTTTGTCAAAAGTGAATACAATAGAGGATGCATTTGGTACTATTATATTTTGTAATTGTTTCAGCACAAAAAAGCATTCTTCGATTTTTCTATTCAATAAAAAACGAACAAATTATGAAGAATAAGAGTTACGCATAATTCGGTATAAATGCATATGATTGTTTCCAATTATTTTTCTGTGCTATGCCTTTATTTAACTAAAGTACTGAAAAGAACCATACAATTTTTGAGAACAAGTAACAAAAAAAGTATAAGAGTATTTTTATATTTTAAATCATTAATAGTAAATTTTATTATAATTGAATACCATCAATTCAAATTTTTTTGGGTCCCATTTTTTAATGAATTTGTAAATTCCAAAACAATTTGAAGTGATTGGTATTCCAATAAACTGAACATTTTTCTGAGCACAGCTCAGAAAAAATTCAGAGTATATTTTTAATATTTAGATTTTTCATTGAAAACTCTTTTAATTCAATAATTGAACATTTTTCTGAGCGCAGCTCAGAAAAAATTCGGAGTATATTTTTAATATTTTAAATTTTTCATTGAAAACACAATTTTTAAAACAAAAGATGGCACAGTACTTGTGGCCAGACTTCTTCAATAATGATGTAGAATTGTACTCAAGCGACAATATAGTACGAAATACTACAAACAAGCATCATTATTTGATAACATCTACGAGATTTACAGACCATAAAAACAGAATTATTGTATTAAAATATAACCCATTATTTCAATTATTTGTTATTGGGACAATTTTCGATTCTATTACTCAATATGATGGTATGGGTTCTTCTTTATATTCGTATGATACAGGATCCTGTATTCAATCAAAAGTTTGCAGCATGAACATAAGTTGCAATCAATTTGCGGCGCATTCATTTTCTCAACCTAAACAAGCCTCAGATAAAACTTATATCGTTCAAACATCAATCTTAAAAGCTCAAGGTCGATCAGATCAAATACGGAATTTTTTGGGTGACAATGTGTTTGATAATCTGAATTTAACAAATGGTCATATGAATTCTGAATATGCATTATATTCTTTCGGTTATACCAATAATGCATCTGTAAAATATTGCAATTTTTTCAATAATTCGGCTTCTGAAACAATCATTGATTATTGGAGAAGTGGACCTAAACTAAACACATATTGTAACATTATTTCCAATAATGCTTCATTTAGCACATATGAAAATGCTGTTATTTTAGCTGTTGATGGTCCAGTAACTGTTACCAAAAGCATAATAATAAATAATAAAGCAGCATATTTATTCTTTTGCTATCAAAAAGGTTCAATTTTGGTAACCTCCACTAATATTAGCAATAATAATTATTTGAATGAAACTACATTAATGAATGAAGGAAAAATAATGTCTATTGAGAGAGGAGTACCTCATTTTCAAATTTCTTTCAATGAAACATTGGATAATTGTCATTTAAAAAATTCAATCAAGGCAACATATGAAATGCTCAAAACCAAAGGTGCAAATAGAAATTTCATTATTCTTGCAATCGAAGAAGCTGTTTCATGAGGTAATTAATTTAATAACATGTCAACAAATCATATTACCTCATGAAACAAGAAATTAAATTTGTACAACCTTTATAATATAAAATATTTCATATGTTAAGGTCTTTGATTACATTCATATTAATATCTTAGCATATATCAGGTTTTGGATTTCAATTTAATTTAATTTTATAAATAGATATAAATAAAAACAAATTATACACACTATGGTTAATTAAATTCATTCTGCTGAAGAAAACCAAAAAAATAAATATTTGGAATTTGAATTAATTAACAGAAAACAAAGTAATAAAAATTTATTTGTCATATGTATGTAATCCCACAAACTTCTAAATTAATTAAATGCTTATAATAAAAAAATTATATAATTATAAGTTTATTTTTCAATGTAATTTTAATACCATTTAGCTCAATATCTTTGATTGAGTCGGTGAATTTAGTCCAGTGTTTCATGAATGGCAGTGCTGAATTCTTAATAACTAGCGTCAAATTTTTGTTGAGTGGCAATTTTGAAAAGCATATTGCAGATCCGCATTTTTGTTAAGTTGTTGTAAAATGGAACAAAATACCGATCAACATTTGTTAAGCCTTTCTCCATTTGAACTTCTAATTTGGGGTGTCGAACAATTATGGGAAATAAAAACAGAGATACTTTCAAGAAGAGCTCTAAACAGTGGTTTGATTTTAAGAACATTATCTTGTTCTTCTGAAGAAAGTAAAACTGGAAGACTTTCTCGACTGAAATTTGTTGTTAGCTTCGAGCCTGTGAATTTTTCATTCATAAATAGTTGACTGCCCCTAACAGCAGAGCTGGTTGAAGTGGAACGCGTTCTATAGAGCTTTTGGTTAACATTAAAACTGAAAACCACTTCTCAAAATCTGACAAGATTTTAATCCGATTTCAGAGAATGTTTTTTAATCTTGTTGATCTCAATATATACGCTATTGTTGTATTACACGCAGTAAAAGTGACACATCGATCAAGAAAATTTTCTGTTGTAAAATGATGATCCCCTGAAACTTGATCACTAATATGAACACAATATATATTAAAGATATTCAGTTATTTTATCTCAAACTCAAAGAATAGCAATTCAATTTTCTAAAGCCTTTATAAATTTTTACCCAAAAGAGTTAGCATATGCCATTATTTATTCTAAGCGAAAAACAGATTCAAAAAATGAATATTGTTCATTGCCTTATTAGTGAATGTAAATCAATAAATAATTCATCGCATTAAGCAAAAGAACAGGCAACTTAAGGAAATGGATCAAATTTTATTGTTTGTTACATAAAACAAATCGGAATAAATTTGAAATGCATAAGTTTTAATGATAAACATCATGATATTATGATAACATTCCCCTTTGATGGTCAAAAATCAACTATTATAGTTTAAAAAACCATAAAAATTAGATAGTAAAAAATTTATTCAACAAACAATTTATAGTAAAATATCAATATTAATGGTGGTTGAGAAGCTGTAAAACATTGGTTGGATCAATTTCTTTTCTTAAACAACATTTGCTTCAGATCGCCAATAATAATATTATTACCGATATGTTTCTGAGAGTGGATCATATTTTGTGAGCATAAGTATGGATAAATTGGCATCCAATTCTCAGCAAACCAGCATAATAAGGCTGTTTGTTTCTTTTTGCCATTCTATCAATATAAATGCCGAGCTTTTGAGAAACCTTAACAGCGAGATCAAGTATTCGGTATTCTTGAATGCATTTCCAAGTCCAACAAAAAGAAAGTATTGAACAATGTTTACATGGACACCTGCTTCATTAATTCTCTTTGAGATATCATCACTTGTATAGTGTGTAAGGAATTTAACTGGCTTCTTGATACTAACTGTATCAATTTCTGGCTGAATTGGCATCATCATCATTTTAGAAAATGAATGAAATTTGATATACCTTCTCAATTTCTGAATTTCATTCAAACGGGTTCGACAGCCTTTCAATTTCAGCCAATCAAGCCGATAGGTTCTAAACTTGAAATTGTGATATACAATTAAAACAATGCATTATATATTTGAAAAATATCTCATTCAATTTAATGTCTATAATTTTTTTGATATATTTAACAACTATACTTTGTATAATTTAATATCTAGGTAATTAAGATCGGATGTTATCCATTCAATTTTTTTGAATTATTAAACGTCTGATCAACACGGGAATCAAAATATAATCCAAGATGCTTTATCTAGCCAGGAGCACCAGATGCTATATTTTTAACACTTGGTGGAAAAACAAAAAATTAAATTTCATATTTAAAGATCGATACCGTAAAATTTCAACGCTATTTACAAGAGTTTTATTTGAATTTAAAGGGGGTAAAAAGCAAAGTTCAGTCAAGGCTTTATTATATAAGATTCCTTCAAGGCTACTGTAGTATGTGTTATTACTAGAAACATCGATACTTTCTAATGTTGGATTATCTCCGAATGCGCCATCTCCAATATATTCAATATTCTCACCGATTGACACTTTTTTTATTTGATTTGAAGAGAACGCATTACCTCCTATAATTTTTAGAGAAGATGGTAGTTCTAAATTATCGATTTTAAGCCCACATAAATCAATACCCGAGGTTTTGATTTCAATCAAAGAATCAGGAAAAGATATTGAAGACAGAGCTTGCCCATAAATATTTCAATTCAGAAAATTTTCTCCTATTTTCTCACTTTTCTGACACAAGTTTTTTGGTATTTTTTACCTAGGAACAATAAACTTTATATTGCTATTTTTCGTGTGAACAAATCAATATAAAAAACAATTGTTTCAAATACAAAGTAAATATATAAAAATTTGCATTGATTGAAAAAACAAATATAAACAAAATAGATTATTCAATTGCGCGAAGTTGCTTTGATAATCTGAAAATTCTTTCAGACAAAGGAGTGTTAGACACATCTTGTAATTTTTCTCTCAGTATTCTTGCAGCACTTCTTTCGCAATCAACAAAATTTGTCTCTGAAGTAGAAATTTCTTGTTGCAAATGTCAACAGTTGATTGCAATGGATTTTGTCTCGTTTCAAGAGAAGAAAACAAAAACCTGATGCTGTCAAATATGGCTCTATTAGGTTTTTCAACACCAAGTAATAAACAAGGTCTTCTTTCTATGTCTTCGCAGAAATTACTGAGCTCTGACATTCTTTTTTCGTTTTGATTAAATTTCAATTTGACTTCATCGATTTGTGCGAGCAAATTATCATCAATTCTAACACCAAAGTAGTCAATCAATCGCTTTGAAACTAAAACTTTGTCTCTTTTTCTTTCATCTTCAATATGTCTGATTGTTTCTGTTAATTTCGCAACTTCTTTACCAACAACACCACATATTGCATCAGAAACACTATTATTACTACTATAATTGTTTCCGGACTGATTTGTAAATGAAGAAAGAGACTGTGAATATTGAATAGTTGTAAAATTTTTGTGATCGTCATTGAAAATTCAGAATTTTCTTTTTCAATTCTTGAATTTCTTGTTGTAGCTTTCCTTCTGTCTTTTCTGATTGATGCAAGCGGTTGACTAAGGTCTGTGCCTCTTCAATAACTGTAGAAGTACCTAAAATCCTCGAAAGCTTGACAAATTGGCTCTCATAATCTTGGCATTTTCTGCATTCAGTACAAGAAGGGTCATTTAATAGATTATCGATAGTTTCTATCAAGTAATTGTCAGATGCTGCATTAGTCTGTCCAATATACTTCAAAAACTTCTCTCTTCCTCTGCTTTTTTTGAGTTTTCGGATGTGCCAATTTGGTTTTCTTGTTTCTTTAACCTTAAATATTTCAATACATTTTTGGCCGTTTGTCGTAAACCCGTAACATTTCCTTTCTCTTTTTCTTTCTCGAGCTCGCTTTCTAATTCCTTATTCTTAACTTGTAGATTGGCCAAAATTCCTCTCAAATTTGACACTTTTTGAGTTTCCTCGGCCAAAACAGATTTCATTGCAGAATAACTCGATATAGTTTGATCTCTGTCTGCGAGTAAATTTGATAACCTCGTTCTATCGTCAATTATTTTGTCAACTCCGAAATTCAAAGCGTCAAAAAATTCTTTTACGATCTGAAGTCAACTTCGGACGTTTGAAGGCTATCATACCTCTGTTTATCAATTCTCTGATGTTTAATTCTTTGTCAAAGTAAACTTCCACTTTGTCACTTTTTAGTTTTTCGTTACTTTTTTCATTTTGAATTTCTTTTGATTTTTCTTCTTCTATTTTCATGATTTCTTCTTCTGTCTTAGCAATATTGAGATTCTCTGCAATTGTTTGGAAAATAGGATTCAATGGAACCAAGTTTTGCTCAATCTTTGAAAGATCTTCATCATATAGAATAACTGCTCTTATTTCGGATATGATATCACAAACAGCATTGTAAGAACTGTTCTTTAGCTTCTCGTTTTCTTGTCCTTTGACATATTTTTCAAATTCAGTTGAATATGCCGTAGAAATTTCTCTGGAAAACGTTTTCATGTCTTGGACAATCTTTTCTTGAGCTCTGTTTCTTTGATTTCTATTCATCAAAAAGAATTTGCCGATTAATGACTGAAACATCCAAATTTGTTGCTGAAATTTCTTGATATACTTCATTACCGGGTCATGAATTCCTGCATTATATGATTCGTATTTCATTATATTGTCCAAATTGCTTAAAATTGAGTTGAAATTTTTGTCAATTGAATCTTGAATGTATTTTATACCATTTAGCTCAATATCTTTGATTGAGTCGGTGAATTTAGTCCAGTGTTTCATGAATGGCAGTGCTGAATTCTTAATAACTAGCGTCAAATTTGTTTGAGCTGGCAATTTTGAAAAGCATATTGCAGATCCGCCATTTTTGTTAAGTTGGTTGTAAAATGGAACAAAATACCGATCAACATTTGTTAAGCCTTTCTCCATTTGACTTCTAATTTGGGGTGTCGAACAATTATGGGAAATAAAAACAGAGATACTTTCAAGAAGAGCTCTAAACAGTGGTTTGATTTTAAGAACATTATCTTGTTCTTCTGAAGAAAGTAAAACTGGAAGACTTTCTCGACTGAAATTTGTTGTTAGCTTCGAGCCTGTGAATTTTTCATTCATAAATAGTTGACTGCCCCTAACAGCAGAGCTGGTTGAAGTGGAACGCGTTCTATAGAGCTTTTTGGTTAACATTAAAACTGAAAACCACTTCTCAAAAATTCTGACAAGATTTTAATCCGATTTCAGAGAATGTTTTTTAATCTTGTTGATCTCAATATAATACGCTATTGTTGTATTACACGCAGTAAAAGTGACACATCGATCAAGAAAATTTTCTGTTGTAAAATGATGATCCCCTGAAACTTGATCCACTAATATGAACACAATATATATATTAAAGATATTCAGTTATTTTATCTCAAACTCAAAGAATAGCAATTCAATTTTCTAAAGCCTTTATAAATTTTTACCCAAAAGAGTTAGCACTATGCCATTATTTATTCTAAAGCGAAAAACAGATTCCAAAAATGAATATTGTTCATTGCCTTATTAGTGAATGTAAATCAATAAATAATTCATCGCATTAAGCAAAAGAACAGGCAATCTTAAGGAAATGGATCAAATTTTATTGTTGTTACATAAAACAAATCGGAATAAATTTGAAATGCATAAGTTATTAATGATAAACATCATGATATTATGATAACATTCCCCTTTGATGGTACAAAATCAACTAATTATAGTTTAAAAAACCATAAAAAATTAGATAGTAAAAAATTTATTCAAACAAACAATTTATAGTAAAAATATCAATATTAATGGTGGTTGAGAAGCTGTAAAACATTGGTTGGATCAATTTCTTTCTTAACAACATTTTGCTTCAGATCGCCAATAATAATATTATTACCGATATGTTTCTGAGAGTGGATCATATTTTGTGAGCATAAGTATGGATAAATTGCCATCCAATTCTCAGCAAACCAGCATAATAAGGCTGTTTTGTTTCTTTTTGCCATTCTATCAATATAAATGCCGAGCTTTGAGAAACCTTAACAGCGAGATCAAGTAATTCGGTATTCTTGAATGCATTTCCAAGTAACACAAAAGAACGTATTGAACAATGTTTACATGGACACCTGCTTCATTAATTCTCTTTGAGATATCATCACTTGTATAGTGTGTAAGGAATTTAACTGGCTTCTTGATACTAACTGTATCAATTTCTGGCTGAATTGGCATCATCATCATTTTAGAAAATGAATGAAATTTGATATACCTTCTCAATTTCTGATTTCATTCAAACGTATCACATGACACGCTTATCAATTTCAGCCAATCAAGCGATAGGTTTCTAAACTTGAAATTGTGATATAACAATTAAAACAACCAATGTACTTTATAATATTGAAAAATATCTTCACATTCAATTTAATGTCTATCAATTTTTTTGATATATTTAACAGACTATAACTCTTGTATAATTTAATATTCAGGTAATTAAGGATCGGATGTTATCCATTCAATTTTTTGAATTATTAAAACGTCTGATCAACACGGGAATCAAAATATAATCCAAGATGCTTTATCTAGCCCGATTTCACATTTTTCCAACAAACGGAATGTTATTTTCCAAATGGAAGATAAAAGTGCCACTTTTATTATGTGACAAATTTCCAAATACATTTGGTTAAATAGATTAAATCATATGACATTGATGATCCTGTATTGAGAAAAATCTTCTCCACTCTAAAATTCAGTTCGTATTCAAATGCAAACTTCAGTCATATTCCCAGCCGTTATTCTCCAAACGAGATCCTAAATAACATATAACTTAATAATAAAATACAAATATATTACATTATTTCATTTATTTTTTTTTCAAAAATTTAATATATTGGAAGTATATTCAGTAGTATTCGCAAGTATTACGAACACAATTCAAATTTATATATAAAATCTTTTAATTATTGATAAGAGTTGGTTAAATTTCAATCTGCTATTTTCAGCTTGTTGCCTTTACTCAACATTGCTTAGTAAAGTCGAAATATATATATGCAGACTAGAAATTCATGAAACAAGAACATATTAATCTCAGAATAACAACAAATGTTGAAATTATTTCTTAGAATTGTAAAATTGCTAAAAATTTCTACAAAACTTGATTCCTCTTTTGTCAAAAGTGAATACAATAGAGGATGCATTTGGTACTATTATATTTTGTAATTGTTTCAGCACAAAAAAGCATTCTTCGATTTTTCTATTCAATAAAAAACGAACAAATTATGAAGAATAAGAGTTACGCATAATTCGGTATAAATGCATATGATTGTTTCCAATTATTTTTCTGTGCTATGCCTTTATTTAACTAAAGTACTGAAAAGAACCATACAATTTTTGAGAACAAGTAACAAAAAAAGTATAAGAGTATTTTTATATTTTAAATCATTAATAGTAAATTTTATTATAATTGAATACCATCAATTCAAATTTTTTTGGGTCCCATTTTTTAATGAATTTGTAAATTCCAAAACAATTTGAAGTGATTGGTATTCCAATAAACTGAACATTTTTCTGAGCACAGCTCAGAAAAAATTCAGAGTATATTTTTAATATTTAGATTTTTCATTGAAAACTCTTTTAATTCAATAATTGAACATTTTTCTGAGCGCAGCTCAGAAAAAATTCGGAGTATATTTTTAATATTTTAAATTTTTCATTGAAAACACAATTTTTAAACAAAAGATGGCACAGTACTTGTGGCCAGACTTCTTCAATATGATGTAGAATTGTACTCAAGCGACAATATAGTACGAAATACTACAAACAAGCATCATTATTTGATAACATCTACGAGATTTACAGACCATAAAACAGAATTATTGTATTAAAATATAACCCATTATTTCAATTATTTGTTATTGGGACAATTTTCGATTCTATTACTCAATATGATGGTATGGGTTCTTCTTTATATTCGTATGATACAGGATCCTGTATTCAATCAAAAGTTTGCAGCATGAACATAAGTTGCAATCAATTTGCGGCGCATTCATTTTCTCAACCTAAACAAGCCTCAGATAAACTTATATCGTTCAAACATCAATCTTAAAGCTCAAGGTCGATCAGATCAAATACGGAATTTTTTGGGTGACAATGTGTTTGATAATCTGAATTTAACAAATGGTCATATGAATTCTGAATATGCATTATATTCTTTCGGTTATACCAATAATGCATCTGTAAAATATTGCAATTTTTTCAATAATTCGGCTTCTGAAACAATCATTGATTATTGGAGAAGTGGACCTAAACTAAACACATATTGTAACATTATTTCCAATAATGCTTCATTTAGCACATATGAAAATGCTGTTATTTTAGCTGTTGATGGTCCAGTAACTGTTACCAAAAGCATAATAATAATAATAAAGCAGCATATTTATTCTTTTGCTATCAAAAAGGTTCATTTTGGTAACCTCCACTAATATTAGCAATAATAATTATTTGAATGAAACTACATTAATGAATGAAGGAAAAATAATGTCTATTGAGAGAGGAGTACCTCATTTTCAAATTTCTTTCAATGAAACATTGGATAATTGTCATTTAAAAAATTCAATCAAGGCAAAACATATGAAATGCTCAAAACCAAAAGGTGCAAATAGAAATTTCATTATTCTTGCAATCGAAGAAGCTGTTTCATGAGGTAATTAATTTAATAACATGTCACCAAATCATATTACCTCATGAAACAAGAAATTAAATTTGTACAACCTTTATAATATAAAATATTTCATATGTTAAGGTCTTTGATTACATTCATATTAATATCTTAGCATATATCAGGTTTTGGATTTCAATTTAATTTAATTTTATAAATAGATATAAATAAAAACAAATTATACACACTATGGTTAATTAAATTCATTCTGCTGAAGAAAACCAAAAAAATAAATATTTGGAATTTGAATTAATTAACAGAAAACAAAGTAATAAAAATTTATTTGTCATATGTATGTAATCCCACAAACTTCTAAATTAATTAAATGCTTATAATAAAAAAATTATATAATTATAAGTTTATTTTTCTTTCTATGTAATGTTTAGGTAACATATAGGTAGAGAATACTAGCGTGTCTTATACAACTCTTAAGGTTAACATTGGTCCTGAATGTTCCCAATAATTCAATTTGAGATGCATGGAGAAGTATATTCACTTCAGTTAGATTTGAAAAACCATGGAAATTTTTTACGCAGAATAAAATGATATAAAATAAAATAAAAATATAACTTATCTAAAGAGGGAATTCAGATCGAGATCAAAACTTTCGATAACTCCTGGAGCATTGATTACCATTTTATAGAATTCATCATAGCGGAGCTCTCCTGAGTTATTTCTAGAATATTCTTTGATTAATTGGTTAGCCAATAAATTGATCTTGGCTTCTTCAAATTCTATCAAATTGTTATTTCTTAATGAAATCTTAAGAACTTTTAAGATTTCATCTTTTGAAACTAGACCACTTCCATCGCTGTCATATGCTTTGAAACACATTTCTACCTTTTTCTCTAGTGGGGCTGATGGATGGAAAACATTAAGTCCTTGAACAAATTCGAGGAAATTCAAATTACCGGAGCCATCTGAATCTATGATCTTATATAATATCTCCCCAATGTCTGTGTTTGTAATTTCAAGTGTATTGCAAAAAGTTTTTAAATCAACATGAAATTTTGCTGTTAATTTTCGAAAGAGAGAAGCTAGAATATGAACTTGCTTCTCTGTGAAGTAACTGGTCTCACTGATTTTGGCTGCATCTTTTTCATTAATAAAACCCTTACTGACAGCACTTGGAATTAACCCCATAAAGGAAAATAAATTGAAAGGAATAAAACAATCATTGAATTCGAACTAATTTTGAGCCAAAAGTATGTACTATTAATTATATTGTTATCATGCAGAATTAGAAAACTATAAAAATCTTGGGCTATTGACCCAGATGCAACTCGATTTACTCTATCGAAGAGTAAATGGCGAGTCTTATCAACAAATACGGAATGTTTACTCAATTTCAAAGACGACAGTAGCACGCGCAATCATGCGCACTGCTACTTGTCGTTCATGGACAAAAGGTCAGTCAGGGGGTGGTATGACCCTTTTGTCACTACCAGATGAAATGCAGTTCAAAAAACTTGTTCAAGAGATGGCAGACGACTTGAACTGTATTACAACATCAATGGCCATTGCTGTCTGTACGGAATTACAAAATAGGAGATTAAAATTTGCGGCGCGGGTACTAATCGCTGCAAGATGCCCGCATCTTCTAGCGAAGCTCGATGATTACTGCCCATCGCCATCCCGTGGCTGGCTTAATCATATCGCCACAAGATGTCAATTCGGATTGTGAGCTCCAAACTATTGATATGCTCCGACGCTCTACCTGTGACGCAAACCAGATTCGCCAATTTTTCCTCTCCAAGCATAGATACTTTGCCCGCAGGAAGAAGTTTATTGCGAATATGGACGAGACAATGCTCTATTCCAAACGTCGCTATAAAGTTCTTACTGCTGGCCGGAATCGCCCAGTTCGCGCTGAAAAGTCTCAGCTTCCACATCTTAACAGGGGTCTGTACCATCTTTGCAGATGGTACAACTATGAGCCAATGGTGATACTTCCACAAAAGAAAGACCCTTGATGCGGAATTGGAAGATCTGGACGCCTTTTTTGTTCGCTCCGAGAGTGGATGGATGAACAAATACCTTTTTATGGTATACTGTATCATATTCATCTGCAAAGTACAGGAGAAAAGGTCTCAAATGAATGTGTTTGATGCCCAGGTACCTTTTCTCCTAATTGTAGATGGTCATCCATCCAGGCTCTTTTTCTTGGCCGTTCGCCTCTTGAGCGCCTTCAATATCGAGCTTCTTGTTCTCCCAGGCCATACATCTCATATCTTACAACCTCTTGATGTTGGGATTTTTCTCCCTTGAAGGCCCAATTCAAGAAGTTGTTTGATATGGCGACTATCCGGTACGATCAGCAAGGGCATATGGTGATCAATTATGTATGGAACGCCAGAGAACTGCGCTATATCATGGTTCGCAGCTTCCTTGATGTACTGTAGTGTCTTGCACAGCTACAAACATCGAAAATGCTTTTAAAGCAACAGGAATCTATCCATTGGATATGAACAAACCTTTGCTTCCAGATACATTGTAGCAAATGGAGTTCTCCTGCAAGGCCCAATTTTGTCAACGACAAAGTCTTACAGATCCAAATGTGATGATGCAAGTCTTCCAAATGGAATATGGGCCCCAGCAACAGGATTGGTATTTATCAATCTGTTTGTGGATTATGCAATCTGTTTTGGCCTGGAATGGAGCATATGGCCAGGTTCTATAGTCGTAGTTACATCTCCTTAATCCTACTGCAGTGGATTTTAAAAAAATCCAATTAAAATGATATAAAGCTGAGGAGCTCCAGGGTGAAGAGGAATGGAAGAAGAAGAGCTGGATAGAGGAAGCAATCTTGATGGAAGAGAGGAAGCACTTTGATTTAGAGAGGAAGCTGCATGATGAAGAGAGGAAGCACTTTGTTGAAGAGAGGAAGCACTTTGTTGAAGAGAGGAAGCTGCATGATGTAGTGAGGAAGCTGCATGATGAAGAGAGGAAGTACTTTGTTGAAGAGAGGAAGCTGCATGATGAAGAGAGGAAGCACTTTGTTGAAGAGAGGAAGCATCTTAATGAAGAGAGGAAGTACTTTGTTGAAGAGAGGAAGCTGCATCTTGAGCAAGAGAGGAAGTACTTTGTTGAAGAGAGGAAGCACCTTGATGAAGAGAGGAAGTACTTTGTTGAAGAGAGGAGCATCTTGATGAAGAGAGGAAGTATTTGTTGAAGAGAGGAAGCTGCATCTTGAGCAAAGAGGAAAGTACTTTGTGAAGAGAGGACAGCTGCAATGATGAGAGAGGAGCTTTGTTTTGAAGAGGGAAGCATCTTATGAAAGAGAGGAAGTACTTTTGTTGAAGAGAGGAAGCATCTTGATGAAGAGAGGAAGTACTTTGAAGAAGAGAGGAAGCACCTTGATGAAGAGAGGAAGTACTTTGTTGAAGAGAGGAAGCATCTTGATGAGAGAGGGAAGTACTTTGTTGAAGAGAGGAAGCTGCATCTTGAGCAAGAGAAGGAAGGTACTTTGTTGAAGAGAGGAAGCTGCATGATGAAGAGAGGAAGCTGCATCTTGAGCAAGAGAGGAAGTACTTTGACGAAGAGAGGAAGCATCTTGATGAAGAGAGGAAGCACGTTGAGCAAGAGAGGAAGCATCTTGATGAAGAGAGGAAGCATCTTGATGAAGAGAGGAAGTACTTTGAAGAAGAGAGGAAGCATCTTGATGAAGAGAGGAAGTACTTTGTTGAAGAGAGGAAGCATCTTGATGAAGAGAGGAAGTACTTTGTTGAAGAGAGGAAGCTGCATGATGAAGAGAGGAAGTACTTTGTTGAAGAGAGGAAGCTGCATGATGAAGAGAGGAAGCACTTTGTTGAAAAGAGGAAGCATCTTAATGAAGAGAGGAAGTACTTTGATGAAGAGAGGAAGCATCTTGATGAAGAGAGGAAGTACTTTGATGAAGAGAGGAAGCATCTTGATGAAGAGAGGAAGCATCTTGATGAAGAGAGGAAGCATCTTGATGAAGAGAGGAAGCACCTTGATGAAGAGAGGAAGCATCTTAATGAAGAGAGGAAGTACTTTGTTGAAGAGAGGAAGCTGCAAGATGAAGAGAGGAAGCACTTTGTTGAAGAGAGGAAGCATCTTAATGAAGAGAGGAAGTACTTTGTTGAAGAGAGGGAGCATCTTGATGAAGAGAGGAAGTACTTTGAAGAAGAGAGGAAGCACCTTGATGAAGAGAGGAAGTACTTTTGTTGAAGAGAGGAAGCATCTTGATGAGAGAGGAAGTACTTTGTTGAAGAGAGGAAGTGCATCTTGAGCAAGAGAGGAAGTACTTTGTTGAAGAGAGGAAGCTGCATGATGAAGAGAGGAAGCACTTTTGTTGAAGGAGGAACATCTTAATGAAGAGAGGAAGTACTTTGTGAAGAGAGGAAGCATCTTGATGAAGAGAGGAAGTACTTTGAAGAAGAGAGGAAAGCATCTTGATGAGAGAGGAAGCATCTTGAATGAAGAGAGGAAGCATCTTGATGAAGAGAGGAAGCACCTTGATGAAGAGCGGAAGCATCTTAATGAAGAGAGGAAGTACTTTGTTGAAGAGAGGAAGCTGCATGATGAAGAGAGGAAGCACCTTGATGAAGAGAGGAAGCATCTTGATGAAGAGAGGAAGCATCTTGATGAAGAGAGGAAGCATCTTGATGAAGAGAGGAAGCATCTTGATGAAGAGAAGCTGGAAGAGAGGCCCTTGATGAAGAGAGGAAGCATCTGATGAAGAGAGGAAGTACTTTGTTGAAAAGAGGAACACCTTGATCAAGAGAGGAAGTCACTTTGTTGAAGAGAGGAAGCATCTTGATGAAGAGAGGAAGCACTTGTTGAAGAGAGGAAGCATCTTTGATGAAGAGAGGAAGCACCTTGATCAAGAGAGGAAGTACTTTGTTGAAGAGAGGAAGCATCTTGATGAAGAGAGGAAGCACTTTGAAGAAGAGAGGCAAATCTTGATGAAGAGAGGAAGCACCTTGATGAAGAGAGGAAAGCACCTTGATCAAAGAGAGGAAGTACTTTGAAGAAGAGGAGGAAGCACCTTGATCAAGAGAGGAAGTACTTTGTTGAAGAGAGGAGCACTTTGAAAGAAGAGGAAGTACTTTGAAGAAGAGAGGGAAGCACTTGATCAAGAGAGGAAGTACTTTTGTTGAAGAGAGGAAGCACTTTGAAGAAGAGAGGAAGCATCTTGATAAGAGAGGAAGCACCTTGATGAAGAGAGGAAGCATCTTGAGAAGAGAGGAAGCATCTTGATGAAGAGAGGAAGCACCTTGATGAAGAGAGGAAGTACTTTGTGAAGAGAGGAAAGCTGCATGATGAAGAGAGAGGAAGTACTTGTTGAAGAGAGGAAGTATTTGTTGAAGAGAGGAAGCACTTTGTTTGAAAAGAGGAAGCATCTTAATGAAGAGAGGAAGTACTTTGATGAAGAGAGGAAGCATCTTGATGAAGAGAGGAAGTACTTTTGATGAAGAGAGGAAGCATCTGATGAAGAAGAGGAAGTACTTTGAAGATAGGAGAGGAAGCACTTGATGAAAGAGAGGAAGTACTTGTTGAAGAGAGGAAGCATCTTGATGAAGAGAGGAAAGTACTTTTTGTTGAAGAGAGAAGCTGCATCTTGAGCAAGAGAGGAAGTACTTTGTTGAGAGGAGGAGAAGCTGCATGATGAAGAGAGGGAAGCATTTGTTGAAGAGAGGAAGCATCTTAATGAAGAGAGGAAGTACTTTGTTGAAGAGAGGAAGCATCTTTGATGAAGAGGAGAGTACTTATGATGGAAGAAGAGAGGAAGCACTTGATGAAGAGAGGAGTACTTTGTTTGAGAGAGTGGAACATCTTGATGAAGAGAGGAAGTACTTTGTTGAAGAGAGGAAGCTGCATGATGAAAGAGAGGAGTACTTTGTTGAAGAGAGGAAGCTGCATGATGAAGAGAGGAAGCACCTGATGAAGAGAGGAAGGCATCTTGATGAAGAGAGGAAGCATTGGATCTTGAGAAGAGAGGAAGCATCTTGATGAGAGAGGAAGCACTTGATGAAGGAGTGAACACCTTGATGAAGAGAGGAAGTACTTTGTTGAAGAGAGGAAGCATCTTGATGAAGAGAGGAAGTACTTTGTTGAAGAGAGGAAGCACCTTGATCAAGAGAGGAAGTACTTTGTTGAAGAGAGGAAGCATCTTGATGAAGAGAGGAAGCACTTTGTTGAAGAGAGAAGCATCTTGATGAAGAGAGGAAGCACCTTGATCAAGAGAGGAAGTCCTTTGTTGAAGAGAGGAGCAAATCTTGGATGAAGAGAGGAAGCACTTTGAAGAAGAGAGGAAGCATCTTGATGAAGAGAGGAAGCACCTTGATGAAGAGAGGAAGCACCTTGATCAAGAGAGGAAGTACTTTGAAGAAGAGAGGAAGCACCTTGATCAAGAGAGGAAGTACTTTGTTGAAGAGAGGAAGCATCTTGATGAAGAGAGGAAGCACTTTGTTGAAGAGAGGAAGCATCTTGATGAAGAGAGGAAGCACCTTGATCAAGAGAGGAAGTACTTTGTTGAAGAGAGGAAGCATCTTGATGAAGAGAGGAAGCACTTTGAAGAAGAGAGGAAGCATCTTGATGAAGAGAGGAAGCACCTTGATGAAAGAAGAGAAGCACCTTGATCAAGAGAGGAAGTACTTTGAAGAAGAGAGGAAGCATTCTTGATGAAGAAGGAGGAAGGCACTTGATGAGAGAGGAAGCATCTTGATGAAGAGAGGAAGCATCTTGATGAAGAGAGGAAGCACCTTGATGAAGAGAGGAAGTACTTTGAAGAAGAGAGGAAGCATCTTGATGAAGAGAGGAAGTACTTTGTTGAAGAGAGGAAGCACTTTGTTGAAGAGAGGAAGCACCTTGATGAAGAGAGGAAGCACTTTGAAGAAGAGAGGAAGCATCTTGATGAAGAGAGGAAGCACCTTGATGAAGAGAGGAAGCACGTTGTTGAAGAGAGGAAGCACCTTGATGAAGAGAGGAAGCACTTTGAAGAAGAGAGGAAGCATCTTGATGAAGAGAGGAAGCACCTTGATGAAGAGAGGAAGCACCTTGATGAAGAGAGGAAGCACTTGATGAAGAGAGAAGCACCTTGATGAAGAGAGGAAGCATCTTGATAAGAAGAGGAAGCATCTTGATGAAGAGAGGAAGCACCTTGATGAAGAGAGGAAGCATCTTGATGAAGAGAGGAAGCATCTTGATGAAGAGAGGAAGCATCTTAATGAAGAGAGGAAGTACTTTGAAGAAGAGAGGAAGCATCTTGATGAAGAGAGGAAGTACTTTGTTGAAGAGAGGAAGCATCTTGATCAAGAGAGGAAGTACTTTGTTGAAGAGAGGAAGCACCTTGATGAAGAGAGGAAGTACTTTGTTGAAGAGAGGAAGCATCTTGATGAAGAGAGGAAGCACCTTGATCAAGAGAGGAAGTACTTTGTTGAAGAGAGGAAGTACTTTGTTGAAGAGAGGAAGCTGCATGATGAAGAGAGGAAGTACTTTGTTGAAGAGAGGAAGCATCTTAATGAAGAGAGGAAGTACTTTGTTGAAGAGAGGAAGCATCTTGATGAAGAGAGGAAGCACCTTGATGAAGAGAGGAAGCACCTTGATCAAGAGAGGAAGTACTTTGAAGAAGAGAGGAAGCACCTTGATCAAGAGAGGAAGTACTTTGTTGAAGAGAGGAAGCACCTTGATGAAGAGAGGAAGCATCTTGATGAAGAGAGGAAGCACCTTGATGAAGAGAGGAAGCATCTTGATCAAGAGAGGAAGCATCTTGATGAAGAGAGGAAGCACCTTGATCAAGAGAGGAAGTACTTTGTTGAAGAGAGGAAGCATCTTGATGAAGAGAGGAAGCACTTTGAAGAAGAGAGGAAGCACTTTGTTGAAGAGAGGAAGCATCTTAATGAAGAGAGGAAGTACTTTGTTGAAGAGAGGAAGCATCTTGATGAAGAGAGGAAGTACTTTGTGGAAGAGAGGAAGCATCTTGATGAAGAGAGGAAGCACTTTGATGAAGAGAGGAAGCACCTTGATGAAGAGAGGAAGCTGCATGATGGATGCATGATGGAGTGAGGAAGCACCTTGATGAAGAGAGGAAGCACCTTGATGAAGAGAGGAAGCTGGATGATGATGCATGATGGAGTGAGGAAGCACTTGATGAAGAGAGGAAGCACTCTTGATGAAGAGAGGAAGCATCTTAATGAAGAGAGGAAGCATCTTGATGAAGAGAGGAAGTAACTTTGAAGAAGGAGGAAGCATCTTGATGAAGAGAGGAAGCACCTTGATGAAGAGAGGAAGTACTTTGTTGAAGAGAGGAAGCATCTGATGAGAGAGGAATACTTGTGAAGAGAGGAAGCATCTTGATGAAGAGAGGAAGCACTTTGTTGAAGAGAGGAAGCACCTTGATGAAGAGAGGAAGTACTTTGAAGAAGAGAGGAAGCAACTTTGAAGAAGAGAGGAAGCACTTTGTTGAAGAGAGGAAGCATCTTGATCAGAGAGGAAGTACTTTGAAGAAGAGAGAGCACCTTGATGAAGAGAGGAAGCACTTTGTTGAAGAGAGGAAGCATCTTAATGAAGAGAGGAAGTACTTGTTGAAGAGAGGAAGCATCTTGATGAAAGGAAGGAAGTACTTGATGAAGAGAGGAAGCATCTTAATGAAGAGAGGAAGTACTTTGTTGAAGAGAGGAAGCATCTTGATGAAAAGAGGAAGTACTTTGTTGAAGAGAGGAAGCTGCATGATGAAGAGAGGAAGTACTTTGTTGAAGAGAGGAAGCTGCATGATGAAGAGAGGAAGCTGCATCTTGAGCAAGAGAGGAAGTACTTTGACGAAGAGAGGAAGCACCTTGATGAAGAGAGGAAGCTGCATGATGGATGCATGATGGAGTGAGGAAGCACCTTGATGAAGAGAGGAAGCACCTTGATGAAGAGAGGAAGCTGGATGATGGATGCATGATGGAGTGAGGAAGCACCTTGATGAAGAGAGGAAGCACCTTGATGAAGAGAGGAAGCATCTTAATGAAGAGAGGAAGCATCTTGATGAAGAGAGGAAGTACTTTGAAGAAGAGAGGAAGCATCTTGATGAAGAGAGGAAGCACCTTGATGAAGAGAGGAAGTACTTTGTTGAAGAGAGGAAGCATCTTGATGAAGAGAGGAAGTACTTTGTTGAAGAGAGGAAGCATCTTGATGAAGAGAGGAAGCACTTTGTTGAAGAGAGGAAGCACCTTGATGAAGAGAGGAAGTACTTTGAAGAAGAGAGAAGCACTTTGAAGAAGAGAGGAAGCACTTTGTTGAAGAGAGGAAGCATCTTGATCAAGAGAGGAAGTACTTTGAAGAAGAGAGGAAGCACCTTGATGAAGAGAGGAAGCACTTTGTTGAAGAGAGGAAGCATCTTAATGAAGAGAGGAAGTACTTTGTTGAAGAGAGGAAGCATCTTGATGAAGAGAGGAAGTACGTTGATGAAGAGAGGAAGCATCTTAATGAAGAGAGGAAGTACTTTGTTGAAGAGAGGAAGCATCTTGATGAAAAGAGGAAGTACTTTGTTGAAGAGAGGAAGCTGCATGATGAAGAGAGGAAGTACTTTGTTGAAGAGAGGAAGCTGCATGATGAAGAGAGGAAGCTGCATCTTGAGGAAGAGAGGAAGTACTTTGACGAAGAAGAGGAAGCACCTTGATGAAGAGAGAAGCTGCATGATGGATGCATTGATGGATGAGAAGCACCTTGATGAAGAGAGGAAGCACCTTGATGAAGAGAGAGGAAGCATCTTGATGAAGAGAGGGGGAGGAAGCATCTTGATGAAGAGAGGAATACTATTTGAAGAAGAGAGGAAGCATCTTGATGAAGAGAGGAAGCATCTTGATGAAGAGAGGAAGCACCTTGATGAAAGAGAGGAAGCACTTTGTTGAAGAGAGGAAGCATCTTAATGAAGAGAGGAAGTACTTGTTGTTGG